GCTTGACCGAACAACGTTATCGGTGATCAGCGCGATCGCTGGTGACAAAAGCAATTGAAGTTCTGTCTCTTTATACTTTTTCTTCATTTCAAATCCAAACCGTTCCAGAAGTATAACCGGACAAGGAGGATCATTTTCACCACAATTTTTGACTAAATGAGCTTGAATATCGTGCATGGTAATACCAACTGTTACTTCCAACGGTCGATAGTCTCTTAGATCAAACGATTTTGATTTTCCATCTTCATCCTCTACAGACTCGATACTGCTGTTCTGAACATCTCTGTCTTTACTCCTTTCCGTGCTTACCGATGTAGGATTCGTTCGACTTTGCTGCATGTCCGTGAATGTTTGATAATCACCGAATAAATTTTCTTTCAAGTGTATAAAATTTTTCAAAAGTGAGCCATATAAAATCAATATAGAAGGACCTATCTCGAGGTCTAAACTAACTTTGTCGGGTGCTATAGACTGCGGGTCAAATTTTTGACTACCGTTCTTCGTCCACTGAAGTCCTGGTGATTTTCTACATCGAGGAATTCTCATTGGAGATAAAAGAATTTCCTCTTTCTCTGGAGTTGTTATATTCGCTTGCGGTGTAGGTCCTAAAGGTGGACACGGATGATATGTATAATTAATACTCAACGCGACGATCGGTACGGACCAGCAATCAACCCAACCAGCTCCTTTTTGACAAACGTTCCTCCATTTTTTACTTTTATTCAATTCTGATAAATATATATGGGATCCATCGCGCGTCATGATCTTCGCATTTTTATTCAATGCCAACAAAATTGTACGACTGGTATTCACTTCTGGCAAGTAAAAGGAAAGATCGACGCTTTCACCTTGAATCCAAAAACGCAAAGGTATCGTGACCGGTAGATAGTCGACAAATGGAAGATCAAACGATAACTCAAAAAATTCTCCGCAAAAAGCAATGTGCGTATTTTCTTGATTTTGTGACGAACAATCGATCCAATTATATTCGTTACACAAGGTGATCAATTCGAATTCTTTTAGTAATAAATTAAACTTGCAGGTATACGGTACAAAATGTAAAATATCTGGCCTGGCTTTACTGGCCCAATCGTTAATCATATCTTGAAAAAATTCTTTGTGCGAATAAACTAAGTTAGCTGTAGCTTTACATCCGGTTAAATTCAACGTCCATTCTTGATGATCGTTCCATCTTATCGGATAATGACACTTGACACCAAATTCCAAAGTTTCGCTTTCAACTAAACTTCTATATTGCAAACTCGTGGTCGCTTCTAAATGTAACAGTTGCCCTGTTATTTTTGTAGTATATCCGTCTTGCAGAACTATCCATGGCATGGTAATCTCCAAATATGAACCAGCTCCTACGTTAATATGAACAGCATTTGTTTCTCTATTTTTACTGAATAGTATATCAATCGTAGCTTCGTTCAATGTCGATAATCTGATGTCGAATGACTGAACCTGTCGTTTTTCTCCGGTAACAGGAGTTTTTGTAACTTTCAACGGCTGATAATCATTAGGAAAAAAGAATTTAAATAAATGTTCTCTTTGTCGATCGGCCCAAGGTCCGTAACTAAAATCAGTACCCTTTCCGCATTTAATATCAATGCCCCAGATCGGTGGCATTGCTTCCACCATATCTCCATTCACTAATTGAATCATTTCTGGATGCTCAGGAACAAATCCAGGCTCGTCCATATAATAATAAACTTCCATGTTGTTCGAACTTAATACAACGAATCCTTCTCCCATGTATCTAGGCGGATCATCTACCATTCCAGTATATTTTGGACTTGGTGCTAAGATAACTTTGAAATTTTCTGCTTTACATTTTGTGAAATGCATAAAATGATCGTGCCGAGATGCTGCCGGTTTTGTTGAATAGACAAAATGTGCCTCTTCCACGGTTATCGACAGAGTTGTTGGTATTAACCGATTACCAAATACCAATCTTCCCTAAAAATAATTAAAAATTTTAAGCATATGGAATTTTTAAGAATGGTATTGCTTATTGAAAAAATGATTTATACTGACTGTGCAGACATCTAATTTGATAACAGGTATTAAATCTCTCCATGTTCTGGCTATAACGTGAGCTTCCTTTTTCCTAATATTATCAACGTGACGCGAAACATCTATTGCATTTATCTGTTGACGAGTTTCATGAGCGCTATTGCTAAACGATTCAGCGTCACGATCATCGCTATTGACGTTATGATTTTCCTCGTCAGGAAACATTTGTGGTGTAAGACCAAATGTTTTTTCTAGTTGTGCATATAACTGACAGCGATTGTAAACGTGTAATTCAAAGCCATTTAACATAACTGAAAGTCGTGTGTCGGAATGTGAAAGATCTAAAAAAAAAATAATATTCGGTTTGTTAGAAACTTTTAAACAAATTGATACAAGTACTGTATAATGTTATTTTAAATACCCTCAGATACGTCTTTGGGAACGTAACTTCTCCACCATCTGAATATGAGCCACCCATCCTGCACTCTGATACTATAATCTGTTGTGATATAAACTATATCTCTGAACATTATTTTTCCGCTTAATGCGCTTAAAGTAAAAGATCCTAAAAGTAATAATCATGAATTATAATGAATCTACAAACAAAAGTGTATTGATATATGATAGATACATATTTTTTAAAAACCTACCTACTTTAACATATCCATCTCTAATAATAAACCGATTTAACAATTTTGTTAGTATGTAACCGATGACTCTGCTATTATAATAAGCTATATAAATAATCCAAGAAATAGCAGATACTAATGAGCAAAGTAAATATATAAAACTACTATCCATTTTAAGGTCATCAAGGATGACATGTTCAGAATAGTTCCAAAAGGCTGGTTCAATTCCAGAGAAAGATGGAACTGTAGCATTGTACAGTTCATTCTCCTCCATGATGATATTGTGTCTTTTTTTTTTTTATTATGGAATCAAGAAATATTAATCATTTTGTCATGAATCACTGAAACCATGAAAAGCAAACATAATTACAAAAATGATGATGGTATAGACTGCTTTGCTAGCGATCAAACATAGTATTTCATATATTATAGTGTTTATAAATATTGCTTCAACAGCAAGCTTACATTTTGCATTGCATCCAGAAGTTAGTACATAAATACAATTAAAACAACCAAGGTAGAATTTGTAAACATAACCTAATGAAGTATAATTTAAAAAGGTATTTATAATTGAAGGACATTGTAAAACATGATCCTGGATTGCATACAATAAGATGGTCGTTATCATGCGATTATTCATTGACAAAATATCATCTAATCTGAAACAACAAAATAAAAATTCTTCAGAATGGTGCCATCAGCAGAAAGAGAATATCTGTTGCTGCAAGTATAGAATAAAAACTGTATCTCCTCATGCGCCTATTAATGCTTTAAGTTATTTAAATGATTGTCTACTTATTGAAGAACCTAAAATACTCATATCTTATATATGTATATACATATATATATATATATATATATATACACGTGTATAATACAATCGAACATGAGTGTTAAGTACTTTCTAAACTATACTTCATAAATGAGTGACAAATTAAACTAATCTGTTTAGCTGATTTACCTTTATTCAGTACTTATATAAGAATTACATTCAATTTTTGTCGTGTCACTCATGGTTTTGTGTTTATCAGTACGTTAGTTTTAATACATGTCACAGAACTGTCATCGACAGACAGCAACACATAACCACTCCATAATTGCCTACTATCATTGACTATAGATTTAACAATGATACTTCATACTCGATACCACAGACAAGATATAGAATAGACCTAACATCTTATGGGACTTCGTGTCCCACGTTCTGAAATACCGACATAGCGTAAAATCTTATTTTTGCCCGTCGCGTCGTTTTGTTGCGCTCTCTAGGATTCAGGACAGTAATTTCAGAAACTACGTAAGGCAAAACGACAGAAGCTTTATTTTTAAATGAATCAAAACAAAATATATCTTAATTTTTAAAGGTAATGATATGCATTAAGAAACTTTACATTTAAATAATTGGAATAACAAATTTTAATTTAAAAGAATATTTTAAAAAAGACATTCTCGAAGATTGTCAACATTTTCTTAATTTATAAATTTCAGGGTGTAAGCACCAAATCTGAAGTGCTTTTACAATGTTCACCTGATTTTATTTATAATGTTCCATTACCGCTCAACCAAGTACGTATTTACGTACCGGAAATAATTGCGAGAGAAAGCAGGACAGATCTGAAGAACCTGTAAGATCTCAAATACATACATGTACAAAGTGTACGTATACGTACAGGTGCAGAAGCACGAGAACTTAAAAATAATTTTTAATTTTATCAATACTGGAAGGAACGCTTCGTTCTAACTTTACAAAAATCAATCACTGATCGTAAATGACTAAAGATCAAACACATAAAGTGTAAATTCCAGCTTCAAGTGTGTCTAATGCTACCGTAGTGTGTATTTAACGGAAACGTTTATGTCACCGCACATTCTTCCTACGTATTTTAGACATAACAGGCGAAGAAAGTTTCTAATTCTTTTCAAATGGTGTCATTCGTAAGAGCCATTAATTATAGTCACATCGCAGAGGATGGTCTTAGTCTCTCTATGCTGATTATTCAAAATTATTCATTTTCTTTCTCATTCAAACTTATAATAGCCAATATAGTTGCATAACTCCACCATGTGTATTAGCTAATACCCTTTCGTCTGTCTATGGACCTTTTTTGGTAATTCTTCGCGTACTCTTTGAACGCTTAAGCAAATCTAGGGAACCCTAAAATAAATCATAGTTATTTTCTAGTGAATTTTTGGTCAATTTTTGAATACTTCACTGTAACAAGGTAAATTCAATGAACTCAATTAAAGGTGAGCAACAAGTGCGTTTCGGTACCGGTATCTACACGGTTGATGGTGAAACGATGGAGGGAGATCGGCCTGCATGATCGACCAGACAAACTCACTGTTGGTAGGTATTCCGCTTTGGTACGCGGACTAACTAACATCAGCCGGTGTACTCACGTGGACCATTTCTTTGTTCACGTTCCAAGTATTCATTGTCTTCGATTCTTTTTTTTCTCTCTCTCTTATTTTACCAGTTTTTGTTCCATTGTGAACGATCCGGTCTCTCCTTACGAATCTCTCCCGCAAAATAAACACCAAGGGGAACTTTCATGGTCCGCGCAGAAGAAAAGCGGTTCAACGCCTTTCTACCAGAGGATATTCTTTAACATTTGTGTACGAACTATTTGAATTTGTTCAAGAGTAAAGTGTGACTTTACGTGGAGGGAAGTGGTTCCTTTTTACTATCAGTGAACACTTGACACCCAAGTTCTGTTTGTTTTTGGATTGGATTTGAAAGGTTGGATCAAATTTGGATTTTCATACAAGTCTGGATTGATGTTGACGGTTTGTTGACGAGTTAACTCGAACATGTCAGCCACGATTTCGAAGATATCAGCCAATAGTTTTGGAAACGGGACGAATGCAATTTGCGATAAGGACCGCGTAAGTGTCGCAACTATTTTGATAATAAATAAGAATTTTTGTTTATTTAACTGTTCAGTTGTAGCGGTATAGTATGGATGATGTTATTTAAATTGCCTACGTATTTTAAATTAAAAAAATGGTGCACTGTAATTTAAAATAAATTACACATCATTTTAATAATATGCTATGATAGTGTAATAGGAATATTAAATTCAAATCGGGTTGTTACGTGATATTTATTATGACAAGCTTATAACAAAATTACATAATCGTACAAGAGAATAAAATTAATTTACCTAATTTCTATTCACTTGGCAACAGTATTACTTAGCAGAAAATATTTAATTTTTACGTGCTTCTTCAATGCAACTTCGAATTTAATGAAATCGATCCAGCAAGGTATAGTAGCCCGTCATTTCCGTTATTTAATTGTAAATTATCATACTATGAATAGGAAATTTTTCGTATGGTAACGAGACAATTTAAGTATTCTTACGGATTTTGATTTTTCTACGTGTTTAATATTTTTACTGAAATTCAAAAGAATTCCAAAATTAATTTCTCTCTATATATGTTATTAAACGCTATTAAAATTAGTATACCTGTTAGGATTGTATTATTTCCTCAATCTACACCGTCCCAAACGAGTTTCTTATGTAGCAATGCTGCATATTAAGTATTAATTATTTTCAAACCTGTTAATAGTAACATGTCTACTTTCTTTTATTTCAAAATCTATACTGTTTTACATTTCGTTTAACAATCATCAACTTGTTTATTATACCATATTGATTTCGTTATTATACCATATTAACTTTGTTATTATAAATAACAGAAAAGACATGCAATTATAACCAAAACTAATTTTAATTTTTTTTTGCAAATTGGACATTACATCATTGCTAAATTTTTTTTATTAATGACTTTTTAAGATTCGCAAAACTCATTAAATTGAAAACATTTAAAAATTCTTGTTTTTTGAAGTTTTGAATCATTGCAAAATTTATGGTAACAAAACTTTCCCATAAGATAGTTGTTTAAAGGATATACATGCTGTATACATACGCACTTAAATCTCAATATAATATCGTTTTTCCTGTTTGTATAATCTTACTAACGCATGTCGAAAGATGTATCCTTTTATAAAAAACTCGTGTGCGTTTCTTATTCTTTCGGCATACATTACTTTTACTCGTCTTTTATCTCAGTATCATCAAGGTTATTTCATCTTCTTCGAAAGAAATTGCACGTATAAAAGTGTAATGCTAGCGATTCGTTTCATAATAAGGAAAATCATAGATAGTTCCAAACGTAATATTAAACGTACGTAAAAATTTTTTAGTCATTATTTCTTTTTCCTTTCAACGTACTGGATTAATTTTCTCAACACTTTGACGTACATTTGAAAGAATTTGTGATCCTTTTTATACTTAATGGGAACTCGTCAGTGTAATAATGTTACTTAATAATCTGCAGCTGGAAAATTACAGATTTTTTTAATTATGATTAGTATTCAATCAAGGGATATGTAATAATACGTTCTAATGGTAAATAGGACAATTAGGTTATGAAGAATGGGAGAAAAAATAAGTCGTTTTCATTTCAAAGTCAATTTTATTTTACACTTGATAAAATAATAACAAAATTTTCGAAAATTTCAATTTTTTTTATTATTATTCAAATATCCTCGTACACATTTTTCATAGTATTAAATTTATCATACTTTCAGAAGACATTCGCGTATCCTACTTTTTAAATATGCACATTTCACTAGGCTACGAACGATTTTGCAACTCATTTGAAATTTTTATTTTAATGTCGACAGGCATGCACTTTGATATATTCTTGTTCTATTTTATATTTCCTTCTTGAAATAAATTATACATCTCTGCTTATAGATTTTCAATTTTTTTTATAGAATATACATATAATATTACTACCTCAGAGATTATGAAAAATAAAGATCCAAAGATCACTCTAGAAGGATATTTATAAAACTATCATCATTGCTAAAAATTCAGCTGAAATATTGATTAATGGTTTCAAGGAATAAATCATCATTTTTGTTAATTAGTTCGAAACTACAACAGATGGTCAATAATATTTTCCTATATTTCCTCTGACGTAATCGAAGGACATAGCATAGTAATTTAGTCTTACGTATGGTAACTTTTTAATATACCTCGTAATTAAATGTTTAATGGAGTAAGACCTAAAGAAAAAGGCCGGCCATTCCGTAGTACATTTCCTTTCTACTCGTTATCATTAAACAAGATACAAAACAAAAAATACTGTCAATAAAAAAGAAAAATTGATATTCTAGATAAAAGAAAATTACCAGTAAATAAAATCGAGTAACTAAGTTGCGGAAATGTATATTTCTATCATAGAGTAGAAAATGATTGACTAAAGAATGTGTTAGTCCTGCAGGATTACGTTTGATGTAATAGAAAGTGTGCAACAGCGCGTGTTTGATTGACTTCCATATAGAAACTATTGCAGAAATTGCATTTAAAAATTTTGAAGTTTTTCCTGTCATTTTTCCTAACAGTAAAATAAATGAAAACAAATTTTAATTGTAAATTTTTTGATTGAAAAATAAGTGTTGATTTTCTTTTTTATTATAGGAAATATTATAAAATTTGCAGAATTATAGATATAATTTATTACTGGATTTTTGCTTAATATCGAGAAAGATTCTTTCTAAAAATACTTTTTATGAATATTTAACGCTAAAAACAGTACGATCTTCGTATAACGGTATGCATTTCTTTGCGGGAACTGGGGCATATTAACTGGTTTTACTGTAGTTCCTTTTTCTTATGAAACTTCTTAGTGACCGCGATTTCGTTGGTATTTTGATGGGCTCGAATGCAATTTGATGAGAGGAGATCCTAATTATGTATACGTCTCATTGTATATTTCAACAGCTGTGCGATTACGGAGAAGAAAAGATTGAAAATTCTCGAAAGAAGTATAAGCTCGCTTGGAACTAAATAAAACTGTTGTTTTATTTACAAAAATGATGAGATAGTATTAAATTAAACGTATCTAGAGTTCCGAAAGCAAAAACAAGCTAATCAGAATTTATAAATATTTTTTAACAGGAGAAGATAAAAAAAATTGGGCGTCATACAAAGAATATTACATCTTCGTATTATCACTTAACCAAATAGTCACGTAAAATTACGACTTCTTACGTAGCATTATTTGGAATATTTTCGGCCAAAAGCAGTATCAAGTATGTGCTGTAAAAAATAAATAAAGTGAAACGTCTTTTGTTTGTAAATTTTCTTAACTTTCTCTCCATAGAGATGATTATTTTCATTTTCATATATCATTTAATTTGAAATTTTATCACCAAAGTATTGAATTATAATGATTTAAGTGGTACTCGAAGGATAAAAAGAAGCTAACATTGATTATAAATGATATAAAAATAAGATGCTTATTGCCAGTCATCAGCAACGAAAATGTTCCTCGGATCGGAATACTTAAGTACCCGAGGTCGTGATCTCTTCGCACGATCAATGACTAACATTTTGAATTTTAATATAAAAATCAACATAAAGCAAGTTGTATTTTGCGCAAGACTACACGATGTGACATCATAGATTACAATGTTAATTTTATCAATTATTTAAATATTTACATAAAATTAACTTTATTCATTCATTTTTGATACATCGGGCTTACATACGGATCAATTTGTAACATATGAAAACTCCCGGAACAGGAAGTACCAATGGTAGCACTTTTGGCGCGAGTAAGACCACTTCCGGTTCTGGAGGTCTCTATAAATTTACTTATTTGTTAAATAACTGTGAATTTTATGTATCAGCAAAATTCATTATTTTAAGTATAAACAAGAATTTATTAAATTTGAAAATTAATTGTTGAGGTTTATTGGTATGTATTTATTTTTAAAATATATTCGTGGAGCATTGTTAAAGAGCTTCCGTAATGTGCCGTATGGTAGCACTAGTATAGGGTTATTGATTAGGTTTCTCTACCAAAAATGATTATAGACTGTGAGAATCCGTGTCTTGTTTAAAATTTCTATTGTGAATACCTAAGTATCGTTTAGAGGTGATTTAATAAGTATTGCGCAATTGTGAGAATGTAAAGAGAATGTATTTAATGTATGTACAGTGTATGTATCAATTACGCGACTAAAAAGGGTTCTGCAAAAATGTGTCCTAGCATCTTATCAAACCGTTAATCAAAGTCATAGGTATCTCTTTGGGGTGAGTAAATGCTTGAAAAGTATTCATTTAACATTTTTTAATTCTAAAAAAAATTCCAAAAACAGAAGATACAATTCTTATTATTCATATTTCATAGTACATACCATAATTTATACGTATGCATTTATAAAAAAATTAGGTTATTTTTTTATTATTTTATCACATTCTTTTATTAAATATACTTTCTTATCAGCTGTAACATGAACATAAATGATTATGAACTATTGGACTAATCAAGACATTTATTTCATTTTAGGTAAGGAAATACTAAAGTAATACTTATATAACTTTGTCTTTCATTTTCTTGTAAAACTTCTTTATCGACTATCGGTAATTTAAAAACTACATTTTTTCAAGAATACCGCATAATCAGAATTTATAATCAATTATATTATTGCTATTAAGAGATAAGTATAAATGTTATAGTCGACAAAAATGCTTGAAAAAATTGATAATTACAGAAACAAACAAATATAAAAACAGTAAATAAAAGCTTATGAAGAATTAAATTAGATATGATTATAATCAGATAAAAGATTAATTAAAAATGCATGAGAGAATGAAAAAATCTATAATGAATTACGTCTATATAAAAAAAACAACAACAATGTATATCATAATTAATAAAACGTGATTTTTTCATGGAAAAAAACGAGAGATCAAAGATGAACAATTCCTGAATGAAATTAAATGTTAAAACTAAAAGTATAAAAAAGTATATTGTTTTTAATTACTTTGTATCTTTGTGAGATGATACTCTGAGAGAAACTACAAGAGAAAGTAGAAAGTATAGAAACGTTTGCACATATGTAAAGTAATATTTAAAAACAAAAAGGCCACATATTTGCATTAATTTTACTGTTTTAAATATCAATTGTTTATTAAATAGGAATTTTTATATGAAATTACAATTCATTGTACGATCTTCTTTATTTATTTAATGACGGGCAATACACAGATCAAATATTAGCTGTGTACACTTAGGAAACAAAATAGAAATTTTCGGCACACAAGTAAAATATTTGAAATAAAATATTAACACCTCCTAGACGATAAGTGTTGTATATTGAAATAAAAAATTTCAGTACATTTTTATTCCTTTCTCTAGAAACTGAAATTCAGATTGTTCATACAATTATATTAATTATTCCAATTCAAAGTATCACCTAATTAACCTTTTCAAACTGGTTCAGAAAGTAGTTCGATAATCACAGGAAGCGCTAAGATACGATGTGATACTTTCCTCGTTTTTGTTTCATTCTTTACATAACTATCTTTCCTACTTGTCAGACTAAAAAATTCCAAAGAAAATCCATGAAAAAAAGAAGTTGACCTTGAAATTCTCCGTCTTCCATCTACAAAAAAAATATATGTCTACTACTATAACTCTTTCAAAACAATATAATAATAGACTGTGTAATCTTCGCAGAAAATAAAAAAATCCAACGAACAAAGACTGAAAATTACCATTTTATGGCGCACACACACACACACATGGTACCATTGTATGTATCATACCGCGTAATAATTCTCAACCACGTTCATTACTTTAATTTTACATTCTAGTACTTGTCGAACATTGCGTAACTGGATGATAAATCCCATTTACATAAAGGAAAAAAAATTATAATTTTTAAATTGAACCGTTTCTTTTGAACGATCCTGTAGGTATACGTACAAGCCGGTTCTGTATCATCGCATAATCTGAATTTACTGGCTGTATTTTTTCAGGACGTAGAAAAGGGTGAGCTCCAATCGAACGTAGGCCTCTCATCGTCGATCTGTTCACGGCCGACGTCTTCGTCGCGGACGACGACGTCGGCCGAGAGCAGGGTCGAGCTCGAGGACAAAGTAAGGAACAACAACAGCAGGTCGAATGCAGCTAACAACGCGACGGTGGAAGTGGAAATCGTCCCGAACAATGAACCGATAGGTAAAGTACAGTATATATTAGAGACGAAGAGCCGGTAGAGGATCGTGGACGGGAGACGCGTCATGGTTGGGCGAACGTTGTCTTGAGTGCAGGAGCGGGGACGCCGGAGACGACCACGACGACGACGACGGCGACGACAACATCGAAGACGAGAACGCGAACGGGAAGAGGAACGGAAACGAGCGAAACCAGCCGGTGGAAGGCAGTCGGCCGCTTGCTTTGCCGCCTAACACTCATCATGCTTCTGTTAGCGAGCCTCGTTGCCTGTTTGGCATTGCTCGCCATATACGCAGGCCCGATTTTCCTCGTGCAACTTCTCGTCGTTGTTCTCGTCGCGTATTTAGTATCAGGAGGACGTTTCCGATGGTTCTACGTAGCCGCTAAAACAGCGCCTAGAGACATTTTGTGAGTACAGATTCCAACATCTTCCCAACACAACAGCTATAGAAAACTTGCGTGCACGCTTTCGAACTGCCGAGCCGTTCTAATCCTGGAACCGTTGAACGGAAACCGGGTCAATCTTCTTCTGACTACCGTCCACTGGCTATTCTTTGCATGACAGCTCAAGAATCTTGCTCTTGCTTTATTTCTACCTTTTAAAACGCCGATGTTACTCCTATGTACGCCGTTGGTAATTATATATAGATAGGACACGTAAAATTATTTCTTAAAGGTAATTGTGTATTCGGTGGATCCGGTGCGACGACAGGAATTTAAACGACCGGTTCTGCCGGACTGGTCAAAACAATCGATATATTAGCTCATCCTTTGAACAATGATATTTTCTTAGTCGTTTAATGATTCTGAAGGAAATTAACATTTACCGTTAGTTAGAACACTTTCGTAATTATCGTCTTCTAATACCTTTTTCCACCATGCGCGATTAATATGGCGCTTGGAAAACATAAATTTTAATAATTTAATAATTCCACATGAGCGATAGTTTATCTATTCGTCTACGTACTTTTTCCAAGGTCAATGACAATATTAATTATGGGCTGACCTAATATATGTGTTTCAATGACATTGAGTCGGTCGTTTAACTCATTTTTTACCATGAATTCCCCTGGAGATTTATAATTTATTTAAATGTAATCTAAATTGAAACTTACTTTCATACAGTATTAAAAACTTCCTTGTTTTAACATATTGCATGAGTCAGTATTTATTTTAACAAACATTTCAATTGATACCAAAATGTGATCGCATATTCATACGTCATTTTTTACATATAGTTACTATTGATGTGTCATAAAGACGATTAACAATCTAGAGTGAAATAAATTTTTAAAATGATCAACAGTATAGCGTGATTTGATGAAATTTAAAAATAATATAAACTGTAACTTTCTAAAGGTATCGGTGCACGATGTAAACAGATCTGGATAGGATAGAAATCCTTGTGAATTATAGATGACCCGGTTTCCGACTCGCAAACACAACACGTGACATTAACATTTCCGTCCTTCGACAGTTAATGTCTGTATTGCCCTTATAAAATAATTGTTCAATTTCCAACGATACAAGCTGGTAGGAAAGTGTGCACGACAATTGAAATTTATATTACCATCGGTGATCATCTACAATGGCTTCGAAAAGTATTGACATAACCTTACTTTCATTTTAACCCTTCGTCACGTGCCCCTGTTGAACGATTATCATTACGGCACCGACCCATGTGTTTTTATTACACGTGCACACACGTATTTACTCGTACGTGTATATTCATCAAACAGTTAAACGTCAAGCATCATTCTGGCAAGTGAAATAAAAGAATCCTAGTGCTTCATCATGCTAACCACATATCCGGGTATTTAATTATCCGCGTATGTACGTGATAATCGCGTCCGCGTGTATTTTAGTAGTCAGGGTTTAAAACTATGACCTCTGTTGTCTAAGTGATTGAATGATCACCATGTTGAGTAGTTATGGATTAAAAATCGCAGACAGTATTGCAGTTTAAATAAAATATCCATTGCAACCGGAAACATTGCCAAAGCTCCGTCCTTGTGAAACAGGAAATAAGGGTCAATCACGTGACACTATTCCTCGATATAATTTATAGTACTTTTTATATAATACTTTTTTCTATGAATAATTAATTAATATAATCAATGGATAATGATTATTTTTTACTGTTATAAACATTATTGTATAAAATAATTATTAGAAATATTATTGGTATTTCAAATCTTTTCGTGACCTCAGGTTATCAGAGTTGAAGAATTTCTGCTCATTATCTATTGTGAAAGAGTCCATGAGAGATTTTGAGGGATAATTATACTAACGTGAAACTTTCACGCGTTTTATGCTTTCCCTTTTTTTCGTAACTTTGAAAATAGTATCTTAATGAAAACAATTTTATTATACCACGTGTTTTCCAGACATATCAACTTATCAAATATTTTAACTTATTCTCCAATATAAAAGATTTAATCTTTTTCTCATTTGCATCAATAATTTATTACACCTAATTGATATTTGAAGATTTTTTAAAATGAATTTATCGATCATGATTATTTATAAAATAATGGGAAAAAAAGAAATTTTTGTAGTAATTATATATTTCATTATTAGTTGCTTAATACAATTTAACATTCGTGTTTGGAATTTATTTGAATCAATTTAATATAAAATTTTAAGCTCCGGCCACCTTCGACCCCAAGGCAGTCGAACTATCAATCATATTATTTTCTTGTTTGTTAATTATTTTTTCTTATCATAAAAAAATAAAGCATATCGTTTCATTGAACATAACAGTAATTGTTAAACGATGAATAGACGAGCAGAGCAAAAATAGAACGTAATACTTTTATCTTTTTATTCAAAAATACATGTTATCAGTTGAAAACAATTTGTGTATATCTTTTTCACTTCTTTCGATTTACTTATTCATCCGTTTAATCAGAAATCGATTATTTATTTCGCTCGACCTTGTTTCATGAAAAGTGGAATCGAATGCAGTCGTTCGATAAAGTCGTAACAATGAAACACAATAGTTCCACGTGTGAAATATATCGACTCGAGAAAAGGAAATCTATTTTCTATTTATTTGTAAAATTACGTTAACAACGTTAACTGCGTTAGAAAGTAACCAAGGACGAAATCGAATCGCTGTATCCGGTTACATTTATAATTTATACCGTAGATATTTAGCAACATTGTAAAATTGATATTATTTAAATGAATATTTGCACATAATGTTTATATTAAAATAATATCATACATAAAGTGCAAAGTACACAGGGGTCACGTTTACTTTTTAATACAATTTATATTTATAATTAATTATTCCTCGGTTTGTGTAATAATGCAGCTAATCTTTGCATAAAGAAAATACTCTGAACAGCTTCGATCGCGATCTAACATCAAGATATCATGAGAAATGTGGTTAATATTATTACATAAGTCTCGTATCACTTACAAGCACCTGTGATACGATTGATCTTCCTTCTATTACCTACCTGGATCTCTTTCTGCGGTGTCTCGTTGGTTTCTGGTTGAGAATACACGTCGTCTTTGGAATATTTTACACTTATTATAACAAAGTAATCATTTAATCACTTTTTTTTTCTATTCACTGAATGTTAATGAAATTTATGTAGCTACATTAAAATTATATACTTTTTTTACACTTATATTGCATAAATTGTGCAGGATGTTAAGTATTAGCATAGCATAAAAAAAAAAACAATTAAATGTTTGTAATCGTGGATAATTCGTGTGCAATTAACACGTAGGTGTAATTAAAACGCTTGAAAATTATTTTACATAATTTTTCATAATTGTAAAATTACAGGTAATTAGTATTAAATTACAAACAACTATCTTTAAGTGTATTGAAATTATTAAGTTATTAAATTTAATCAATCATTAAATTTTTATAGTAAAATTAGTAGAACTTTACAGTTTTATAGTATTTTAATAATATAAGGATTTATTTATTTGTTTACTTATCGAACATTCAATAAGGAATCGTGAAGAATCATTAAGTGTTTACAAATATACAGGTAGTGTACTGTTAGTGTTTACAAATGATCATGGAAATGAGGATGGAATACGATATCTGTGTACCTTTTAATTCATTTGAATATATACTGCCTTGGCGTCGGTGAAAAAAGTGAAGTTAAGTTAAGTTAAATGCGTAAATATTGCTGATCCATTACGTACACACGTGCGTCATACGTGAGCTCGCATAAAATCAGTGATAAATCGGCTAAAACGATGTGCACGTCGGACAGATTTCTCTCGTCGCTTTAAGCGGTCCATTCATCCAACTAAACGTTTAAATTTCATTTATGATGCATTTAGACTCGGCTTGCCCCGCAATTCCGTTGTCGCTAATTCAATGAATTTCTAATTTCTTTCGGACTTGTAACATTTCATACCTGTTTAATTAATATCATTTGCGAGGAAAATAGAATTATAGCGTAACAATGATATTGCGCCTGAGAGACTCGACCCTCCCAACTTGACAAATTTTTTTTTTTTCGAATTTTATTCTTTACTCGACGTCAATCGCTGCGTATTTTTATTCTCTACAAGAAAGTATTAAGGTATTCGGGTCGAAAATTGAACAGTGAAAAAGATATCTTAGGGAGAGACCGCTGGTCTCTCCCAGTCTCTCCCTGGGATATCTTTCGAACCGATCAATTTTCGACCCAAGTACCATAATACTTTCTTGTAGAGAATAAAAATACGCAGCGATTGACGTCGAGTAAAGAATAAAATTCGAAAAAAAAAATTTTCAAATGCAATTGCATTTTAAAAAGCGAAGATGATCCTCTGGGTTCTATATAATTTCAATTAACTGTTTTTCTATTTTTTTATTTCGTCTTGAGTTTATGGTCTCTCAGTATAAAAGGCTTATTGTTAAAAAAAATTTGTATCTGTCTGGAGCGAGTAATACGCACGAATTTATCAACAGACGTGATATCTTATTTCTTTCGCTTCCTGAATACATTTTACTCTGCTGAAAGTAGCCTGTTACGTTTAAAGGTTTATCGAAACAGATTTTCATACTATCCAGAAATTCCTTTCTATTTTTAATATTCAGGCAACGCTTCGTCGAAAACGCTGGGTCTTTTCTTCGGTTAATAAATATTTGTTTTATTTTTATTCTAGAGCCATCTTTCGGTATATTAAACTTCTGTGGACAATTCGTTGCCACGAGAGGAAAAACAGAAGCGTTGCCGATGTATTTCGGCAAAATGTTAATCGTCATCCCAATAAAGTTTGTTTGATCTGCGAGGATCAAGAGTGGACCTTTCAACAGGTAAATGTCACCAGTCCCAGTGTTAATTTAAAATATTTCCATTAAATAACGTACTATTTAATTTCAATAATCGACTAGTATTATAATAGATTAATCTTCTTCATCATAAAAATTTGATTTTCATTTTTTAAAGTTGTTATGAATTGATCATTTTACATCACTACAAGTTATGCTAAATGTTATAATAAGTTTTAATGTATTTGGTCATTAAAAACTGTTCAACTATTCATTATCAGATTAAAAACGTCTGGTCAGAAAAATAAATACAATATAAAAGATTCTTTGAATAAAAGATATGAGCGAATGTATTCTTGTATCTCTTAGGAGATAAATAATGAAAACGGAATAATTCTTTTCTTAAGAAATTAGAGATTTTTAACCTTTGATAACCTTGGAAACACAGAGGTCTTTGAACTATATTACAGAAGAGTGGAATAATTATTCTTGCTATCATCTTTTATAATTATATAAAAATATTTCATTAAGAGTGATTGAAAATAAAAATTGACTTCTAAGAAGTTTCTTTAAAAGAATTCTATTTAATATAATAACGGTATACCAGACTTTCTATTATACAGAGTACTTAAAAAAAAAAATACTTGAAATTACAGCTAAGTTCTAATTAAATTTTCTTATTAAACTAAATATATAATATTTCCAGGTGGAAGACTACAGCAATAAAATTGCAACGGTATTCAAAAGCCATGGATATCGTAAGGGAGATGTGGTTGCCATACTTTTGGAAAATCGTGTGGAATACGTACCCCTTTGGCTTGGGTTGAGCAAGCTGGGGGTAATAGTACCACTTATCAACACCAATCTCCGTAAATCTTCCCTTCTACACAGTATAAATGTATCTAAATGTCAAGCTCTTATTTATGGAGTAGATTTTACCGAAGGTAAGTAAGAAATAATAATTATAACCCGTCGTTCTAATAGCGAACCAGCCATTTTGTAATATATAAATTTCGAGAAACTGTTTATATAGTCATTTTCCTCGAACCCTAAGCTACAAATTGATATACCATAAGTGTTATTTTGTAATAATTTTCTGTCATGATTTTCCATGTTTCGAAAGTGGTCAGTTGAGAAACAAATTCTTGGATAAAATTTCTATTCGTACAAACTTATTTATTTAATATTATAATACTGATATAATATATAAATCTTTGATTGTATATTATACTCATTTCGTATTTTATTTCAATGTCAAACGGAAGAAATATTTATACCCCTGGGAGATATTTAATTTCCGGCTAACCGCGTGGTCTATTAATGATTGAACGTGTTAACATCTTTCCTAGTTGCCTTAACATGAACCTTTCTACGTTGATGCTGATGTATTATTCAGAATAAAAATACGACTAAAATCAAATAAACTACAGGATAAAGAATTCTTTTCTTAATTAATATTTCTCTTCTGTACATTGCATTATTTGTAAACAAAGTTTGCATACAGTATATTAATTATCAGTCTGTAAGTACTTATAACAGCTTTACTTTTGCGTTCATGAAGCACTACAACAGCATCAGCTTAATAAATTAAACGAACCGGTTATTGTGAAACAGTTGAATTATCTCCTCATGCGAAAATTACGTAAACAGACTGTGCACAAAACATATTTTAAATTATTCCGACGTTAAACGGTTTGATAATTTAACCCATTAATACCCACGTTAAGCTTGTATCTAGCATTCGTGACCTCTTAACTCCTAAATGAAATGATATTTGATTTGTATTGCGTGCGAGTTCAATCAGCGCATAATGACCGTGATAACGATTGATGCAATAATAGGAAATAGAACTAACTATCCCAGAATTAAAGAAGATTAGGTGTTCGGTTGCGTGCCATGGCCGATTCAACGCGAGGGCTATTTTATAAACGGTTGCATAACACCAAACAACTAGCTAAATACCACGTTTACGCATCAGCCAGCAGCTATGCAAATACTGTAACGATTCTAATTTAGATACGAAGATCCGTAATAGATTTCTTATCTAGTTATTTATACCTGAAATATCTAACCCATTCTGTTATGAACGTTTGCAAAAGAAAAGACGTTTTTGAAAAGTTAAAAGTGGCCTTATTTCAGGCCCACGGTGCTAAGAGAGACATAAGGGACCTCATTCGCAAGGAACACTGCAGTCATTGACCCAGAGAAGAAGGTACGGAGATCAAATTGTAGATTGACACGTGTTTCAGCTTCTTCTCACCTCTTTCCTTTGCAGCCTTTATTAACACTCAATACCTCAGACCTATCCTAAAATATTATTTAAAATGATAAAACTCATGAAAATTGGGAAATTTTTATTTGATATTTATTTTGTTATTAATATTTAATTATATTAACTTGCTGAATTAATATTGGTATATCTTCGAAATTAGGATTTTGAAGTGCAGTGTTCTTTACGAATGGGGTTTCTTTATCGCCTGGCCCCTTATTTAACAATTACTGTAATTAATCTTGTTACACGAAGTAAAAAGATATTATTCTTTTCAGCTCTCTCGGATATCGCCGACTCGTTAGACCCGAAATTTTCATTGTACAGAATCGGTAATTTATCGAACTCCAAAGTATCGAAATTAAGTAATTTAAATGACAAAGATTTAGTCGCTCTTATGGCTGATGTCTCGCCGGCTCCGCCTGTCCTACAAGAAAAAGGCTGTTATCATGATCAATTATTGTATATTTTCACCAGTGGCACGACTGGTCTTCCTAAAGCTGCGGTTATTACAAATTCTAGGTAAGGAACATCATTTTTATTAGTGTCACCTATAGATAACGATTACCTATTGATTTCTCGTTTGTTCGGAATTATTTATCAGTTAATCGTGTTTCTCGGTGCCCTTTCATTTATATTTATCTATAGTCACTATGAAATAGACCACCTAAAATTGCCACTTTAATTACAATTTTTTATCATCGTTTCAGGTATATGTTTATGTCAAACGGTATTTTTATGATGGTGCAGTTCAAAAATTCTGATAGAATTTATACACCCTTGCCATTGTATCATACTGCTGGGGGTGTGATGTCCATTGGTGCTGCTCTTCTTCATGGGTCAACAGTAGTAATTAGAAAAAAGTTTTCAGCAAGCGCTTACTTTACTGAATGTATCAAGTATAACTGTACAGTACGTCTTTTGATACCTTTATTCGATAATTTGATTTTTCTTATAATAATGATTTTAATTTATTTATCAGATTGGTCAGTACATTGGTGAAATGTGTAGATATATCTTAGCTGTACCTCCGAAACCGGAAGATAAGAAACATAACGTTAGGATGATATTTGGTAATGGTTTAAGACCACAAATATGGCCCGAATTCGTTGAGCGATTTAATATTCCTCAGGTTGCGGAATTTTATGGAGCAACGGAAGGAAATGCTAATATCGGTAGATAATTAATGGTTTACGTTATAATAAAGCGTCTATTTCAATTTTAAAGAATCACGATATAGTTATCTTTTTTTTAATATTAGCATTTTATGTTCTTTTTCAGTGAATATCGATAACACTGTTGGGGCTATTGGTTTTGTGTCGAGAATAATTCCATCTGTTTATCCTATTTCCATTTTAAAAGTAAACGAAGAAGGTGAATTAATAAGGAATGCAAAAGGTTTATGTCAAGTATGTGAACCAAGTAAGTATTCTGTTTAATATATGTTAAAGTATCTACTTTGCACTGTATAAAATAAAAGCTGTAAAGTGTAAAATTGTTTTTATTAATATTCTTAGATGAACCAGGTGTATTTGTTGGAAAAATTATACCCAATAATCCATCTAGAGCATTCTTAGGATATGTGGATCAGAAAGCATCTGAAAAGAAAGTAGTCTATAATGTATTCAAGAAAGGCGACTCGGCATTTATATCCGGTATAAATTAATTGTAACGAACTTCCAGAGATACTAAAAATATCCATGATTGTGACAAATATTTTTATATTCTTTCTTTCTCCTAGGTGATATTTTAATCGCTGACGAATTCGGTTATTTATATTTCAAAGACAGAACAGGTGATACTTTCCGATGGAAAGGAGAAAATGTTTCAACATCCGAAGTTGAAGCTATTATCAGTAATATTATTAATTACAGAGACTGTGTTGTATATGGGGTTGAGGTATATATAATACGTAAAACAAGTATCTTAAATAATTTTTAACTTTTCTAAAATTATATGGAACTTTTTATAATTCTTCTATTAGATTCCCGGACTCGAAGGAAAAGCCGGAATGGCAGCAATATACGACGAAAATTCTACGTTAGACATTAATAAATTATCGACTGATTTAAAGGAACATTTAGCATTTTATGCAATACCTAAGTTCATCAGAATTTTAACAAAGATCGATCTTACAGGTATTCATATTATAACTTTTTTCATACTTATAAAAATAATAATGCAAATTTGCCTGTTGTAGTTTGAGATTCATCATATGTGCTTGAAAATTTAAAAAGTAAGTTGTTTTAATAATTATTTCAGGTACATTTAAACTAAAGAAGAAAGATCTTATAGAAGAAGGATATGATCCTAAAAGAATACAAGATAAATTATTTTATTTGAGTGAAAAGTCTGGATATCAGTTATTATCTACTGAAACCTACGAACAAATTCAACATGGAAAGATTCGTTTCTAAGTTATACCTCGACAAAAAGAAAGATTGATTAAACGGGAACAATTTTTACTCCAACTATTTACAGCTTGTCATCAAGGTGAAAAGAGGCTTTTCATCTTCATTATATTGAATCAAAAAAGATTACTTTATATCACACTATAATTTAATGATATTTCAATTATAAGAATTCCCACTCCACTCTCTTTTAACTTTTGTATGGGTTTATATTTTACATAATTTATTACAGATAATGTACAATATGTAACATCGATATTAAAATGAAAGATTTTTTTTATTTAATAATAGGATGTATTTTTTTTTCATCTTTTAAGTCACTTGTATAATAAATCTTTCATTTTTAGGTCATATTGCATTTTATAATAACACAACATAAAAACTGTTTTTATATCATTGTCGAAGCTGAAATTAAGTGAATATTTCAAAGGAACAATTTCTTTGAAACACAATATAATTTACAAAAGCTGTAAATTTGTACAAGGTATTAAATCTGAAATTACACACAGCAAAATGCACAAAATAAAATACAATGTATTTTGTAACATAAATATAATTTTTAGTTCCAAAATTTAGAATTGTTACAGACATGTTATACTATTGTACCTATATTTTAGTACATATTGTTGTTGTTATACCATTATCATTAAGCATTAAGTACATAAAATAAATTATTGTTAATAATATATTATTACATAGAAAAGCTGGCATATTTATAAAAACTTCCAAGATTAAACTTCGGTGGAAAGTATATATATTTTACATGATATATATAAACATTTTATCACATTGAAACATTCCATTACAACTGCTAATACATTACCGTCCGACTGTATTTTCTAGCCGTGTTGTGAAAATTGTTAAAGCATGATAATTTATTTCAATGAATTTTTACAATAATTTCAATTAAATTACATAATAGTAAAAAAACAGTTGCTAGTTATAAAATGACTATACTACATAGAAATACGAAAATGTTGTTAGTATTATAAAAATACTCTAAATATTTATAACCAGTGATTGTTAAAAGATAATTCGTTTTAAATATTTAAAGTATTTGATAGATTAACTATATTTCGTAATGTTTCGATCTTTGAGGTTGTCACTACAGACATGTTATTTAAATTATACCTTTTATTACTGTTGATTTCAAATATTAATAAACTTAAAAAAATTATGAAATCAAAAGTTCAATTGAATTTATTGTTCACTAAAATAGCAAACTCTGTTAATATATACATAAGATATAACATTCATTGAAAAATCTTGAAAAATAATAGAACTGTGAAAAGAATAGAAAATTTTATTTACAAAATTACACATTTTTACAATTCAACGTAATTACAAATTAAATAATATATAAATTGTTCGAATGTAGGAATTCATTGTTTAAAAAAATATACATACTAATAAACTGAATGCAACTTTAAATCTATACTTTTGATACAATTTCAATAAATAAATCTAATTGTATTTTTTTATGCATTATTTTCTTAGATTCGTCTTACATAATTTTAAACATTATTTGTAAAATTAGCTAATGAAATCTGTATTATACATTTTAGTACTTAAAAATATACCAAATTTTAATATAGCACCACTTGTAGGTTCAAAAAAGATGTCTTCTTCAGCAAACCAATCATCAGTAGTGATTTCTAAAAAGAATAAAATGTAAAATATAATTAAAAACTGTAATCAAATAAATATTAATAAAATAGTTTCAAATTCCAAGGAAACGACGCGGGAGCCAATGACTGACTAGGTATCCCCACCCCATCGACGCTCCGGTTCAGCGCGCAGCGCGCGTTCAACTCTAGTCAGTCTTACCGCGACCGCAGAAGGGTACGGATGTATCTGTCGAGAGTATACCGGTACGTGTTGATATCTGAATGTTTATGCGGACGAAAATCAAGTTTACTACAAAAGTGGTAAGTACTAACTATTATCTATCTCTCTAACCCTATAGATTAATTGTTATGGGTCACCATCGTAGCCACCTCCACGCGGTGTGACCTGGTAATCGATATCGCTCGCTAAGGATTTTTTAGATGATCTTTAGAAAGTGATATCGAGCTGAGTGCTACGATTCGCGTCTAACTTCAAATTTACAAAATTTGTTTAATTTTTTATTAAATTAATTTACTTAACAAATGATTACACTTACTTGGCTTAAGTTGTGCGGGTTTTGAGAATAATGTTACACGTGGTTTCTTCAAGACAATCTTTTCCACACATCCCACCTTGATTAGTATCTGTCAAAAATAATTTTATAAAATAAATATAAGTACAAATCAATTAATAGTTCCGCGAATTATGTATAACTCGTTTGAAGGATTATTAATTACCTCGACTAGTTCCCTCGTATGACATGGTTGCAAAACAGGAACAAATCTGTTCTGCAATTTAGTTAATGCGATACCTGGATGTGTTAAACAATAAGACAAAACCGATCCCAACATACGATCGAGCACTCTGCGATTTAAAACTCCGTCTATTCGAATCCACGGTTTCATTACTACCTTCACTTCTTGTTTTGTACTGAAATATAAGTGATGCTGTGTTTGTATTCGCGGCAATAGAATGACATTTACTTAATGCCAGGGCCGGCACTGGGCCTAGGCAGACTAGCCCCATAAGACGATTTTAATGTTAATTTTATAAATTTTATTTTTCTCGAACCCCCGAAATCTCAGGGTCGGCCCTGCTTAATGGAAACAGAAACTTACTTTAAGTCTAATTGCTTTACAGCTCTGGATATATCCTTCTGAGGTAGTAACCGAGTCCTTTTCCTCTGCATTCGTTTTTTCACTTGAACAGTGCAATCTTCATCACTACGGCCACCTACGTCCTTATCGAACTCTTCATTCTTCCGATTCTGTAAGTCTGATTTAGTATCATCTTCATTTTTTAATAATTTACCTTCCGATGGTAAAGTAAAATTTTTATCGTGTTTCCCCGCCATATTTATATCGGTACTTTCGTTTACCATTTCCTTCGATTCTGGTATATACACCGTTCCCTTAGGTATTGGCATGAGAGACTCTTTCTCAAGGCGGTATATTTTATACGAATGTATCAACCATGCATCCGCATGACGATGATGAACGAATCTAACAGTCGTTACACCGGCTCGTAAAAATAATCGATGCTCTGTAAGAAGTACGGTGATACGACGTAAATCTTCTCCCAAAGAACTTTCAAATTCATCCTATAAAAATAGAAACAAATTAAAATCGTGTTCTTTCATTTTTCTTCATTTAATATTCTAAAACATTTTTACTTACTATCAATTCTTTGATACTAGCTCCAATTTCCTTCTTATCACGTACAAACTTATAAACCATCTCAATATCATCCAAGCTCAATGAAGAGTTTTTGGACAATTTTTTCTTGAAATCATAATAAGAGATACCGTCTTTAGGAAAAACAGCAAACTTACTTATTTCTTGTATCACATCATTTATAAGATTTAATTTTAAAGGTAATAATTCTTTAGCTATCGAAATACCCCTAAATACTTCAATTTCTTTTTGCGAGTTCGATGTATACAAGGAATACAGAACTTTGAACATATTTACAACAAAATATTCGTGGGCGTGATGACTGTCGGCCGCTGTCAGTTCACTCAATTCTTCTCTCATTCTCAATAAAGCTATGCGAGTATAACGTTTATCCATATCAGCTGAATCGTCAACCTTCTGACACGTATTTAAATAATTTCGCTCAAGGGGTATATTCTTTAAAATATCATTAACACGAGTATAAGAGTTCTTCTTTGATCGTGGAGAACTTTCACATTCTTCGTTTGATGTACATTCCTTACTATTAGGTTCTGAATCATTAATATTTAAGTTTTTATCAGTTATTTCAATTTCATTATTGCCTTGCAGTTTCTCTTCGTCTTTCTTTTCTTTTTCAATATCTAATTTTGTTCTTTTTTGAGCAGGTTCATCCACATCAAGTTCACTATCATCTCTTAGTCTCTTTTTTATAATTACCTCTTCTTGATCACTATTTGTACATTTTAATAATGGCACATTTTTAGATTCTGAACTTTGACCTTTTATTTGATCGTCCATTATAGTATCGTTAGAAATGTCCATCGCTGAAGAATCATCATCACGTTCTAAGTCGTGTTCGTTTAACACAATTTTCGTTCCATCTTGAAGTTTAATTACATTCGATTCATCATCGATATTGCGACCATTCTCTTCATCGCTATCAAGATTAAAATCTATATTCATAAAATGTTTCGCGTCTTCGACGTTCTTCTTCTTCCCTTCATCTTCTTGCGAAAGCGTATTCTTCTCTGTACCGAAATCTGAAAAGCCATCCCCATCTAATTTCTCATCATCGTTACGCATATCTTTATCGTGATCATTACGTTGCCCATTGGTACTAATATTATGTAAAGAAGATTCCTTTATAAATTTCAAACTATCTAAGCTAGAAAATACATCCTGATACCTTTGAGCTATCCTAAAATAAGTCTCATCCTTTTCTTGTAATCTTGGATCAAGCATTATAACTTGATCAGGTATTTCAATATCAAAGTCCATTTGATTCTGTATGACATAGTCGTGCATCGCTCCTACTACACCACCAGTAACTGGTAACACTTCGATACCATTAAAGGTACTCGATTCATCCATCTGATTTTCAGAATAGTGACTGCTGAGCTTAAGAAAAACATCATAAGATTCTTTGAATAAATTGTATGGCCATTTAGTTTGAAGTGTGTACATGTAAGTGCTACTTAATTGGTACTGAGAACTACTCATTGGCATGTAATTGCCAAATTTTCTTAAAGCAGTCAAATGATTTTTTCTGATCGATACCATTTGATCGCTTCTAATTTTTGACATGGCATTTCTCAAAAGCATCTCAGGGTACTGTTGATATATTTTAAACAGCTGATATGCCCAGGATCTTCTGTCCTTTCCGCAGCACATAGAACTATGAATAACAGAGTTGATTACCACAAAATGTATATCATTGATGTTTCTCACGTCTTTAGTGAATCCTCTGTTACTAAACTGTTTAGCAGGGTGTACTACTTTGTACAACAAATTAAATTCCTGTACTGTACGTGGTACAGGAATGGGTTCTTTAGATCCAACCGAGATATCATAATACTTCTTTGCAGTGTAAGCAGCAAGATATTTAAACGCATCTTCAACCTGTTTTTCGTATTCGACAGTGGTTTTATGTTCCTTCTTGAGCTTCTCTACTATACCATCAAAGCGTTTCTTGATGAAGAAATTTTGTTTCAATTCCTCAACCCCTAAAGAAACTGCATCAACGTTGCGTTGCTGTCTGAGTATGTACAAAAGTCTTCGTTGACAAGCTCTTGATGTTTTATTGTGAGAAGCGAAGGAATATGCTCGTAACACATCTCTTACTATAGAAAATGGTACCACTTGTTTGCGGGGGTTCGAACAAAGATACACCATAACGATCTTACAAACAAGTAGAATCTTATCTTCGTGTGGGTCCCAATCTACTCGTAATTTATGCATTCGTTGCAAGGCACGGTAATCAGTTTCGTCGTACTTCGTTCGCCTTTTACTGGGACATTTCCGAGGCAGTACCCTCCTAACGTAGGATTTTTGCTTTGTGTTTCGTTTATAAGGCAATGCCTCGTACTTCTTCTGATGAAACAAACATTCGTCCAGTTTAGTTTGCACCTTTTTTCGAAGTTCTGTCACGTCGACAGAAGGAGGACCGCATACTGTTTTCAAACCGACAAACTCGGTGAACTTGATGGGTTTCACTTTTATTTTAGAGAGATACTTGTCTCTTTCACACATTTCATTTTGTTTCTTTTTCGTTTGAGGAGTAGAGGTACTGATACCCCAATTCCAGTTACGTTTAAGATGAGCGAAACACGCTGAATCTATTCCTGCAGCACCTTTACGATCACCGGGTACTTTACCAACATCCAGTTTCACAGCTTCTTCTGGGGAACGAGCTACAATTGATTGGACCATGTCGCTTTTCTTATTTAAATCCTCTAGCACTATGTCTTTCCCTTCGACAACCAGTCGACCACCCAGCGGTGTGTTGATGCATATATTCCACATGTCGTACCAATACTTGTCAACTGCTTGAATCTCAATGAAGTGGTACTTGGTGATGGGATAAGGTTTATCTTGAATCACGTGGTAATTAGGCGCAGACGATGTTGTGTCCATTAACTCTGTACGACGATTCACGTAAATGAATACCTGATCCTTCTCCTTCAATTTTTGGGGCCCAAATTGTACTAACCCAATGTAACATAATCTCGTCACTGTTTCGTGAATGTTAAATATATATTTTCTTGCGTGTAATAAAGAACTCCGAAGATCAGTCGGTAGATCTCTGACTAAATAATGTTTGCGCACAGGATGATTTAAATATTTCTCTATGTCTGGCACGGTGTAAGAGATATAATGAATTTTTACGAATATTGAGAGCGGTAGTCGTAGAAGGATATCACACATTAATGCCCACCCTAAAGGCCAACCTAAAGAAACAATTTTATTTTTTATAATTGTATTTCAGGAACATTAGAAAAAAACATTGCAATCATTGAAGCAACATACCTGTATATTTTGGTAAAGGTGGTACAAACATTTTCCAACTAACATCTTTAGTATAAATAGTACTAAATTCTTCTATTAATTCTTCTGCAATATCAATATCATTATTTCGTAAAAGTTGTAGCTGCTCGGCTCGCGAAAGTACCGGTGCACCACGATGTTCATAAACTAAATAGAATAAAAATATGTGTAATGCTTGCATACGAAGAAATTTAGGACTATACCCGTATTTTCTTGATACTCTCTGAAAGAAAATAAATTAATGATAGGCAAAATGATTATCTTAAATCGATATATCTTTCAAATGAATACTTACAGAAGCATATTTACACGATGTTGGTAATAATGTAGGTTGTTTAAATGAAGATTTATTATTTTCAGATTTATCTGTTGCATCGTCGGTATCAGCATCTTTAGTAGCCTCTGATTTTTCTATATTTCTTTTAATGGATGATTTAGATTTCTCGCAGCCTGATAAATAAAATTTTAATTTTGCTTGTTCCACAGCTGATTGAATAACAGCACTATTTACATCAATATTTGGATCACATATAAACGTTAAAGTTTTCTCTTTTCCATTTCCACTTAGTACTATTTTAATATGTTTTATTAAATTGTCCTTTGCAAGTTTCTGTAACAATCTCACCAAAGATTTCTTATCAATTTTCACATCATACCCTTCCTTATCCTCTTCTTCGTGTATCATCTTTATTAACTTCGCCATGTCATCAATAACCTGATGTTGTTTAACTGATTCTATAATCAGATTAGCCCTTTTTAATAATCTGTACGTAATATTCGTCGTACTTTTCCTTTCACTATTTTGTACATTTTCCATAAACCCGTATACTTCATTTTCTGATTTATTAGCACTTTTGACCGGTAAAACTGTCAGATCAACTTTTATATTTTTATAAACATTTGCTGCCTTTTGATCATCCGATATTTCATTAGTTTGCGACGTTGCATTGTCAGAATTTATATCTTTTTCTTTCATTTCGATTTTATTAGGTCTACTTGTTTGTTTATATCTATTTGGACGTTTTATTAGACGATATTTGTATAATATTCTATTGACAACATAAAATACTTTTTGTAATTCTACTGTAGCTACATTTGACTTTTCTTCTGTACTAACAGTACAATTTGTATCAATATCTTTGCAAATTGTACTATATTTAATGTCTTCTATATCCTCCTTTAAAGCACTGACCGTAATATCCTTTTCTACTGCTGTGATCACTTCTGCAGCCATTTTACTTCTTTCTAAATCATCAGTTTCACTTGCAATTTGTTTTGTAAATTCTTTAATTTTATGCATTTCCTTCTTAAACTGTTTACTCAAGTTACTACCCTTCTCATACCTTTTTGACACGTATTTCGTAACCCTCTGCCTTCCAAAGTCACTCATATAAGTAGCAACAATATTTGTTTTAACTAAATTTCGTAAAATCGTTCGTGACTGCAATTTGGTCAAACCCATTATTTTAGACAAACTTCCTTGACATACTCCGTCATTTCCATTAGCTTCAACTATCTTATTTGCTTGCTTTAAGTAAGGTACGCTATACTTGTGATTAGAAATATTTAATTCTTGTGGTTCATCATCTTCTTGTATTTCATCTTTATTCCATGCTTCAAAAATATCAACATTCGGAGTTAACAGCTGTACTACTTTAATCTTCTTTTCTTTTGTCGGAGTATTTTTCAATTGCCATTCTGTAGGCTGCGCATTGGGGTACAAAGTTCTGTACGGTACTCTCATGTCCGTTTTAACAACTTTTTGAAAGAACGAAGTTTTAAACAACTTCTTTATCGCATTTTCAATCCGTAATTTGCGTTTTATCTCGTCATACTCTGCAATATAATCAGGTTTTGATTTAAGAATTTTGATAACTTCCTCAGCCAAGAAGATTATCTTTGGTTTTCTTTCAACAAAAAACCTTGGAAGGTGTAAAAGACTTCCACTAAAACAATGACCCCCACTTTTCTGATGATGTATTTGCTTTGTTATTAATTTATGACGTAATAAATATTTTCTGTGGTAAAATAGGCTCTTAGGATCTTCTTTTAGAGCATTAAGACTAAGTTTTCCTTGAGTAACTTCCCCATGATATCTTGATCGTCCTACTCTTTCTAAAAAACAATACTGTACCACATTCAACTCAAGTATCGGAGATACCTCATCTCCCATTAATGCATGGTTTCTGGCAGACTGCAATGCAACTATAACCAATTTTTGTCCATATTTTTCTATAGCCTTGTCTAAACTGAGACTTCTTACTAAGTCTGTGATCTGTTTCCGGGTATAATAAGTTGAGCAAGATCCTTTAATATCATTAACAATATCATGTATGGGACAATGTGGATAAATATCTGAAGGTACATCATCCTATAAAAATTTATAGTCTTATATCTCGTATGATTGACAAATATGATTACAATTATATTGAGATACTCACTGGTTCTAATATAATACCTAAATCAGGATCTACAAATTGATAACGATCAAAAATTACAAGCGGTTCCCTTGCAGTTTCCAGTTCATAAAATGCAAATTCTCTTATTTGTACACATATTGACCATATTTGAATCATGAATGGTTTTGAAAATGGCAAAGGATTGTGAAGCCTGTGTGCTAAACGTAACCATAATGCTAAAACAGAAAAAGATAACATGTATACATAATTGAAAACATGAAAATACATTATTATGTTAATTACTATTGAATTTAAATATAGGAAATGACAACTGATACAGAGATATTTGATCGATAAATTTATTATTAAACAAGAGCATCAACTATTATACAGTGAAAAATAATGCGCATATTATGGTGAAATAGATATTAATATTTATATACACTAACCTTCTATGGTAATACCATCCAAACCTTCTAATGAAACTTCGTCAATTATTGAATCTACTAGATTGATTGATGGATATGACACCATATTTAATTATGTATTAATACAATGTATATATGAGATAAAAGATGCTCTACATTTCTCATTTATTTCCACGTTTTTAGATAAAAAATTGCCATTTCAGAGTTCATATTGCGGTTATATCATGTGTGCATCGGGTGCATGCAAGTCAATGCAAGTATCTTACAAGGTGGCGCTGCATTCATAACGTGTAAATAACATAATGCAAAATAATATTGAATAGAAATACATATATACAAATATATTCATAAAAGATACATAGGTAAGGGCTAAATAAATTTCTGAGAGAATTATGAATTATAATTTTAATATATATTCTTAAAAAATATAAAAGATAAGTAAACTAAGTAGAAAAAGCATCTTCCTAAATTATATTCTAAAAGAAAAGAATAATAACTTCTTCAAATGTTTTTTTTTTATTTAAATAAAATATTAGTTTCGCTATATTTTGTTTCATTCAGCATAAAAAATATAATCATATCTATGAATACAATCTTATAAATTACAAAAATTGTATAATAATGCACATTTTATAAAAAAGATATCTTTTATAAATTGTCTTTTAAACTGCTATAAACTTATTTCTTTTCTTTAGCTTATCCTTATGTTTATCATTAATAATTTCATTCGAGTGTTTTCTTTTTCTTAATGATTTTGTATGATGTTTCAATTGCCGTAAGTTATCATTGCTTTCATTATTGATGTTAGAACATTTCATTGATTTTGATGTACTTTTTGTCACTGTCATAGTTTCACTTCCATTTAATTGTGACTTCTGTGGTACAAGACATTTATCTTCCACTATGTCTTCCACTATGTCTTGACATTTTACATCTTCATATTTTGAATCTTCAGTGCTTATAAAGTCTTCTTGTTTATCAGTTACAAAGTCATTAAGAATCGGTGCTGATATGGGAACAGGAATAGGGATTGGAATAGGTATAGGTATAGGTATAGGATATGGTGCTAAAACTGTAACAGGAGATAAAAGTGTTACAGGTGATGAATGAATTGAAGAATTAATTTGACTAGATTGTACAGGTGTTCTTGAACTTACACCTATTTGATTTTGATTCAATGTTTGATTCAATTTATGTGTACAAGTTTTAGGTAAAAGTGGACATTGTGTTAAAGATGTAGCTGTCTTTGAAAACCAAGGTGATGACCTTAGTATGTCCTCCAATGAATTATGATCTTTCTCTTGTATATTTTTTCCTCCAATCATACTATCATTTTGTTGATGATTACATAAATTATAATTTATGATACCCATCAAGTTACAGTTTTCCTTGAAACTTTTGTAGTCATTCGTTTGTGAAACATTAACACTGCAATAATTTTGATTACCCATAAAATGACAACATTTGTTTCCTTCATTTGCTAGAGTTTGTTCTTTAACACATTCATTGACGTTACTTTCATTAACTCCTTTATGAAAATTTTTTTTCTCATTACTATTATTGCTTTTTGAATGTTTTTTCATGTAAATTGAATCTTTCTTTGTTGAAATCTTTGGATTAGATATTGGTCCTTCATTACTATTTTCATCTATTTCCTTTGTTCCATTATTAGGCACAGGGGTTGATAAATTATAAATTAAATTGTTGTCAGCTACAAATGTATCATCTGTAGGACTGTTTAGCGGTGATTGACAATTTCTAAACCAAAGTTCTGGAGTTATTAAACTACCTTTCTCTGTGTCATGAAAGGAAGCATTATTCAAACCCTGAAGCATCAAATGAGTTTGGGTTTCATGGCAGAAAATGTTTATTTTGTATTGATTTAAACATCTGTCACTACAAAATTGTAATGGACTTTCACTATCCTAAAAAAAAAATATGTTTTAATTAAGCATTACAATAAAGAAACATTTTATATTTAATTTACATACCTGAAAACCAACATAACTAATTGGATTTCTTATATGCCTACACCAGTCACATATTTTTGCTTGTTTAAAAACTGCTCTTCTACCAGCTATAAAACAATCTTCGCTACAAAAGTGTCTCAGAGCATTTATTGTATTATTAGAAAGAGAATTTATTTCTTCTGAAGTTCCTGTTTTTATTGTTCTACCACACCAGGAACATCTTATTTCATTATCTATAAAACACATAATAAAGTATCAAAAAATATAAATTGTAATAGGTCTTGTAAAGTTTATTAAATTAAACAAAAACAATGCTTGTTTTGTTGTACCTGAAAAAGTAGAGCTTTTACAATTTTGGTAAGGAAATTTAGATGTAGAATCAAATGACAGTGTTTTTAATTCCACTGGAGATGATAATTGCCTGTTCATAGTTTCAGAACATGGCAATGATAAGCTTGAAACTTCAGAAGGTGAATTAAAAGCACTTGGTGATACTGAATCTCTTAATACTAATTTGTTTGATGCAATGTTTTGGTCCATTTGATTATCCTTTGTATTAGATGTAAAGTGGTCCAAGTTCAAACGTTTTGTACAACCACTGTCCACTTTATCATAGCCATACCAGCCTAATAATTCACTCATTGTTGTTGCTGCATATTCCTATAATAAAAATATTGCTTTCTACTAATAATTAAAAATAATAGATTTCTATATAATTTGTGACTTTATCAGTAAATCTACTTTATCAGTAAACGATATTACTGAACAAATGTGTGATCTTTTAAATTGCAATCAATGATTCAAATAGGATCAATAAAAATATATGTTTAAATAATATTTAATTATACCATACCTGAATTTCATTATCAGTTTCTTCCTCTTTAATTCGAACCGGCGTAAAATTCTTTCGGGATGAACGATTGCCTTCATTATCCTTAGCCGATGATGAAAATACTTTCTTCGCGTTTTGCTCAATGTTTTTTACAAAAGAGTTAATCGGTGATTTAATGTCCATTACCTTTAAACTTTCGATTAAATTTTAAGGAAATTAATATCAATTAAAAGAAAAAGTCAATATAATATTAATATACGCGGGTGACTCAATGTACTTTTGAAAGACCCGCCAATATTTTGTGATTAATATTACAGTAGAAGAAAAGTATAAATAATTATGAACAAACGTAAACCATTTTTAAAAACAATTATTACTATGTTTTTACAATTAACGAATATATTTATCGAAAACTTATATATAATGAGCAGCAAAATCAAATCATTATACATGAAATTAGTTCGTTAATCATTTGTCGGTTAATTGTATCTAATATTACGAGGAGTAGTAACATGATATTTTATATTATTACAATGTTATTGTAGTAGTGATGTATAATGATAATTAATTTTCTAAGTAACTTTTCATTAAAACAGTCACATATAATACATATATATGATATACAATTCAAATAAGTATTATTACTGAACCATCAAGCTGTGCCTAATCAAATTTCACTGATATTTTTAGGCCACTAAGGTAACACACAACTTGCGTGAAAATAGATCTCATAAATAACTCGTCCAGTATCTTCTCCTTCTCGCCGACTTAACAGAAAATTTCTTCGCACTTCTCAGAAATTTATTTTTACACAGTCCATACAATCTACAATTATTACCCCCTACGATTGTACATGTATATATGAGAATTTCTATTTATGTATTTTTAATAACAATGCGGTATTCGTTTATATTAAAATTGATTCTAACGCGCGTTATTTGACGATGAAAAATCGCACTGTCAATCAATTCATTGAACACGCACTTTCGATCTATAAGTCGCGTGGTACGATTTTCGCGCACGATTTAAAATTTCAAATTACTTTATTACTCTGCCGAATCGGAACGTGCGGTGTTAAACGATTCTTTGAATTGAACTTCGATTTCGATACACGGCAGACAGGCATAAGCAAGAAGAGGTAGAGATGAAGAAAAGAGAAAGAGATAGGTTTCTTTCGCGCGCCCTCTTTTAACTTTTATTTCCTCCAACACTGATTTTTTACAATTCCTCAGATTATTTCGTTATAAATTATCAATAAATTATTAATATATTGGGAAGATTAATAAAATATATTATAAACGTACAAACATTTTATTAAACCAATGTCTAGTTACAATAAAAATGTTAACATCTGAATAAACTGTGAAATAAGGATTGATTTTTTTATTGTCAATCAATGTTACTTGTATCAATAAATTAAGAATTCTAGATACAAAAATGGTATAGTACAATTAAATACATTTAAAAAACATATAGCATCATACAATAAGTGAACAGAGTATATTGCAATAAAAAATTTTAAATTTGTTTAATTTCACCGCTACAATGAGGACAACAAGTTATGTTTGAATCACATCTTGGAAGAAATATTTGGCCACCAATTGCTACAGCTGCTCCCATTACAGCGCTACAAGCTACGTCTTGTCTTCCCGACATCAACATTTTTGGACTCATAAGTAGCTAAAGAAACAATAAAAGTTAATCAGTAACAAAAATGATATAGGCCGTGGAAATAACTCAAGATCTAATGAAAGCTTACCTGCTCTGCAGTTTTTTCAGCAACTGTTTTCATATCTAAACCAGTTGTATTAATTTCTCTCTGTAAATTAATATTTTCTACACCGCTTAACAACTGAACCCTTAGGATTTCTGCGAGCTGACAGCAGCCTTGAGTTAAATCTATGATATTTGTACTCGGTAACTCGTGTCTTTTATTTGAAGCAGCTCCAACAGGATCAAAGTTTTCACGAAGGATACTAAGTGTCCTAAAACGAAAAGAATGTACTACAGGAGATGTTCTTACTTCAAAAACAAATATTTATCTAATGTATTAGTAACATATACCTGTACGTTTTCAGAGATACATCTCGAATAAGATTACGATCCTCTAAAAGTCGTTTTATTGCTTCTTGAAGATCCGTAGTTCTTTGACAAAGAGCTGCCTTCCATTTTGCAAGTTCTTCAACCATTAAGCTAAAAATAAATTATAATCTTCCGTGATATCGGTTAAACATTATTAGAAGTTCTAATTATTAATGATATACTATTATTTTCATTTACCTACTGGCTAAAAATTTACTTCTCCAAACTTCGCATTGGCCAGCCAGCCATTCTGTCTGTTCTTGATGAGTTGAAAGATGTTGAGCTGAATTCAACAGAGCCCTGGCAAGTTGCAATTTATCCTCAGTCAATAAATGAACTTTTGTTTCAAGATCTTCTCCTACTGCAGCTACCAATAAATTCTTCAGTTCTCCATTCACCTATTTCAAACAGATCTACAATATATTTTTATATTTAAAAGCTCATTACGTATTATGGTAAAAAGAGCAAATAATACCTGTGCTTGAAATTTCAATTGATTTTCAAGCTGACTATTCTCTTCTTTGAGTTTTTGTATTTCTGCATCATAAGCTTTCTTTTCCTTTGACCAATCACTCTCTGTATCTTTATCTATTTTTTGAATACCAACTGATGAAACCTCTGTTTCATGAATCTTAATTGCAGCAACCTGAGAGACAGCCATACTCATATTTAAATTATTTCTTTGTAACTTTTTAGCTTTTTTGTTGCAAGGAATGATTGGATTGACCGCAGCTTTGTAAGGTTCATAAGGTACAAATTTTGGTTCTTTTGATTTCAATGAATTTAATACATGCTTTTCATCTTTTACACTAGCTACATGCTTTGGTACTAGGTTTATTATTGGACCATTTGGCATAACTGGAGGTATGGAACTTAATTGCTTTAAATTTGTTGGATGATAGATAAGCGCATCTCCAAGACGACATTTTGATTGTTTTGTCTCAGCTTTTTGTGCCACCACATTTTCCATTCCATCACCTTGTGTGCGTTTAACACAGCCCATTACTTGTAAATCTAAAATAATATTAAATTTGATTATTAATGCACAATATAAAAAACAAAAGTATGAATATTAGTAATATTATCAAATTTTGATTAATTTTACTACGTCATACTATGAGTATTATATATCTTTAACTTCAATTATCGAACATATGGAGATTATTTATATAGGATATAAAAATTTAAAGACATTTAAATAAATCATAAGATAATAGTCTAACCTTGTGATTTGGTTTGCGTTTCATCTTTTGTAGAGCCTGAGATAGTTGCCATTTTCACATTTATTTCGATCTAATTAAAAAATATAAGTGATAATTCTTGAAGAAACGTAATTGCAGATAACATATTACTTTCTATTTATAATTATTAACCTATCGTTTATCACATTACATGGAACTTGTGAAAGTAACTTAACATGGTAGTAAAATACGCGCGAATACGAACGCGCACAAGATAAATACGAATGAATTTATCAGGGCATTTTTATTTCGTATCTTTATCAATTTTATTTTTATAATTGATGATAGTATGAACAATAAATGCAACACGATAACAAAGAAAAAATGTTAAAGTAATAAATTCGGTCTAATACATGTACATATGTTTAAATTATCAGTAATTATGGTCATTTTAAATTAACAGATAAATTGGAATTAAAATTTTCAAATATAATCAAAATATGGACAAGAAAACATATAAAAAATATAAACGAAGGATTGCCGAAGCAGTAGCTGCAATTGATAATAAACCTCCAAAGTTCAAATTAGCTACTTATTATAAAACTACTAATTTACAGCTGGATGCAGTTAGAGTAAAAGAAATAGATAAGGAAAATATGAAATTACTGAGGAAGATGAACATAATTACTCGAACAGGTGTAGGTATTGCACTATTTTATTTAAAATGTATTGTTAAGTTTCTCTATTATAATTAAATCCATTTAATATCATTTCGGTGTAATAAATAGGGAAATGTTGATTGTTGGGGAACAAATAAGATAGAATACAAATCAAAATATGATGACCAAAATATAATTAACAAGAATATCATGAAAGATAATGAAATTTTATTAAAAAATATTCGCGATGCCAGTACTCATTATCCTGTTGCGGAATTAATAAAAAGTTGGAAAACTATGCAAATAAAATCGATGCACGGCAGAAGGAAAGTTTTAATTTACCAATAATTTTATTATGTTGAATATGATGACACGTTGACTCATGTTAAAAGTAATATATTATAAATTATATAGACATTCCAAAGGACTTACATTTGAAATTACTGGACCACAAATGAACAAAGATGATTGTATGGCCAGTAATTTATCAGTATTGAAAAACATGAATCCATCTATTCGGACGAAATGTTTCTTCGAAATTAAAGTCCAAACCGACGATCAGATATTAGGACGCATTCAATTTGAACTTTATGATGATATCGTACCAAAAACGTGTGCTAATTTTGCGGAACTGTGTAGTGGAACCACTAATGGTTTATCGTACAAGTAAATCTTATATGAATCAATAAATTATTTAATAAAAGTAAAATAACATTTCTTTTCCAAATGCGTTAAATAAATAAGAAATTATAAAAAAGAATTTTCATTCACGATAGAAATACACCATTCCATCGTATCGTTTCCGGTTACTGGTGCCAAGGTGGGGATATTACAAAATTTAACGGCAGCGGAGGAACATCCATTTATGGAGATTCATTTGAAAATGAGAATTACAATTTACGCCATGCCGGGCTTGGAGTTTTGTCCATGTGCAACGATGATAATAATAGATGCGATTCCAAATTTAATCTTACTTTTAGGCGTTTAGAAACAGTTGACAATAAACACGTAGTCTTTGGAAAAGTTACTTCCGGTATTTCAAATATTAGCAAGGTATACTGCTTATTATAGTTATTTAATTTATTTTTTATATCGATTTCTAAATAGAACTTGTGTAATTTATAGATTGAAGAATTTGGTACAAAAACAGGAAAACCAATCAAAACAGTAATTATATGTGATTGCGGTGTTGTATCAAGAAAATAAGAACATTTGTAAGATTTAATTGACCAATCACTTAAAGTTTCAATGAAATAATTTCACAAAGTTAGTAACATAATTTTATGTTATAGTAATTCGAATTATTATAATTAACAATTTGGTAATCTTCGATTATATGAAGATGCACGCTATTCTTATTTATTCAGTTTATTTTCCTTTTGTCAGTATTATAATTTACATAGTTTGCAAAAATACAGTCTGTGAAAAACTTACAGATAAAGATATTTTCTTACATGTTACACATGATAATAACAAATATTATTTTTAAAATCATTACGTTTCCAACAAAAGATCTACATTAATACCATATTTCCTACAGTATAAGTTCAATTTTTTTATATAAGTATATTTAATTGACATTTTTACACCAGTAAGGCACTCTGAATATAAGAAAATATTGTTGAGATGCTCAGACACATAAAAATGATTTCCATTATTAAAACAAAAGCATAAATACAGTGATTTGATTAATATTAGCAATCAGTACATAGGTATGTTACATTTTACTGTTAACTTTCATTAATATGCTGAATTTTTTTTACTTTACTTCCTGTAATTAGTGTAAATAAAATGATATAATATAGTTTTAAGCGGGTATTCTTTTAGGATTTAAGTCGTACATACGACGCATACGTTTCTTTAATTCTTGTGGAAATTTATCATAACATTTTTTGCAAGCTGGCTTCAGATCAAATTCGAAGAATTTAGTTTTTTGATTCATTTTTTGATCACAAAATGCACAAGCAAAGTGATGAACGCACCATGCTTTGTTTAAAGCTGTGAAGACTGAAAAATATACAATAAAATCGTAATTATTTTGTACTTAAATTTTGTTTCAAAAATAAGAATAGTATAGTATACATACCATCCCCAGAAATGACCTGATTACAGACAAAACAAAGATTTCCAAAAAGTTGATGGTAGTGTGTCTCACAGTAAGCTAAACCTTTTTTCTCATAATGTCTATGACCTAAGAATGGTTTTTCACATTTTGCACATACAAAATGTTCAACATGCCAATGTTTACCCAAAGCAGTTACTACACGTTCTTCTATCGGACGTCGGCATGCTCCGCAAATTGGAATTCCCATTTTATCATGACATCTCAAGCAATACAACTCATTCTAAAAACATAATTGTTTTTAAAAATTATGTTTCAACATAATACTACTTTTTTTTACATTCCAACATAAGCTAGAACAATTGATACCATTTCATTGGCAGCATATCCTGGTCTAGAATTAACTTCTCTAGCATCAGAATTAAGTTCTGTACCGCAAGCTGTACAATTGAAGTGGTACGGATGATAAAGCTCCCCTCGAAAACGTAGAGGTTTGTCGTCAATTACTCCGCTACAAATTACATAATATCACATAATTCTTATACAATATCTAAATAACATAAAAAGTTTATCAAAATTTCTTTCATACTGGCATTGATGACAAATATATTTTCCCAGTGCTCCTGCTTTAACGCGTGCATTACATGTGTGGCATAAAGCTCTGCCTTGACACTTAATAAATCCTGCATCAGCTAATTCACCACTGCATTCTTCGCAACGGAAACACGCTGGATGCCAGTTAGCATTCATTGCTTTTATTACACGGCCAATAACAAATTCCCCTATACATAAAAAATTGTAACATATACCGTGATTCTGAAATACTGAAACCATTTACATAAACAGCTTACTAACCGCATTTTTCACAACAAGGTGCAAACAAGACATGAAAATCATGTTCGCAATATTTATATCCTTCGAACTCATAAAATATTCCATCTGGGAATGGACGAAAACATTGTGCACATCTAAAAAAAGTAGAAATTAAAAATATTTAATTCTGAGATCAGTATTTTATAACTGTTTATAATTATAAGGATGTCCTTACACAAAACACTGAGGATGCCATAATTCTCCATGTGAATTAACAATTTTTTCATGAGGTACAAAACCTTCTCTGCATCGAGAACAAAACATATGATCCAAAGACATCTCTGTAACACTTTGGTAAATATCATATCAGTATTAACCTCTTATTAAAATTAATTTTTAATATGTATAATATAGTTGAAAACATTATTTACAAAATATGTTGCATTTAATAAATCACAGAATAATTGAATCAATATTATAAGCTTAAACTATTTAACAAAATTTGATTTTTTGACAAAAATAAGCAAAATTTATTTCATAACATTTAAACATGTGATACAATAATCGATATAAGTAGTCTTTTTATACACATTTGAATCTTTACTGATAAAATATATTTAAATTACATTTTAAGTACTCCGAAAATCGGATTTAAAATAATATACTTGGTAACTATGTTTGATAGATAGAAAATATCTTACAATGCTATGTTTTTCAACAGAAGTAATTGCGCTTACCCTGGCATTCTTTAATGATAAAGAAGAACTAAGAAAAACTATAGTTTACAATTTTCATTACCAGTTAATATTTTATTTTTTGCAAAAACTTAGAAAATTATCAACGTTATACGTTACAAGTGTTTTATAAAATACTTTTCTAAATTAAAAAATGATGATATTTGTCACAAATATACTATTTGCACTTTATTTTTTAAAATAAAACTTTGTATGAAAAATATACACTGTGACAGAATTTCATATTAAATCGATGATTCCCTATATGTTTAAAATAAAAATTACGTCAGCAAATAATGCACCGCCTTTCGGTAATGATCATTTAACTGCAATGACCAATCAGATGTTAGAAATATGGAATTACCTTTTTTGAAATCTTATTCCAGACAATGAAAAGAAAATGTATAGATTGGAGGACTATGAATATCGTACGTAATTTTTGAAAAATTCTTTTATCACAATTGCTTTTCTATAGCAATTTAATATCTAAGAAGAGGGCTATTAACTTGTAGTTTAATTAAACATTAAATGTTCATTTCTATACAATAATAAATTTGTATTTTAATGAATTATTAATGAATATTAATATAATATATAAAATAAAACATGATACTTAAGAAATTGAATTATGTACATCGAATGCAAGAATTTCAAAAAATATGATTAAATAAATAGAATATATTGCACATAAATATATCAATGGCGCTGTGAACAAGCACACTCTGATCGATCGCAGTCCTCAAATCGAGGTGGGCACTCTTTAACCATTTTACGTGAATTGTTTGTGCTGAGAAAAAAGACTTCCCTTAGCGAGGTATTGACTGCGTAAGAGGAAAAATGGCATGGTTAAGCACTCGTGCCGCTTTCCAAACATGTAAACGTCCATTCTCTCGTTCCTCTGTTGTTCACTGGAAATTTTGTAAGCATACATTATTTCTTCATTTTTATAAAAATTCAACCTAAGCTTTTGCGTTTTCATATTACGTAATTTAATAACGCTGTTCGCTTATCTGATTTGTATTTAATATGAAACGCAAATTATTTTATAATCTTCTTTTATTACAGGGGAAGATAAAGAGCTTCCTGATCCATTGGAGCATGCAACAGGATTAGAAAAACGTGAGCTGCTTGCTGCAGCAGCTGGCAATTATGTAAGTTTCTACGTTTAATAATTGTGGAAGTCAATAATTTCTTACTGTACGTCATTTTGAAGTTTTGTTGTATTATATCTCGTATAATTATTAATTACCTACAAGTTACAGTTGTTTTATATAGAATGATAATCTAGAAATATAACTAATATTTTATTATTTTATTGCAGGATCCGTATCACATGAAAGCTATACAAATCAAAGTTGACAGCACAAAAGATAGGCCTAATCTAGTACCAAGTGCATTCACAAGCCGAATCGTCGGCTGCATTTGCGAAGCAGACTCCTCGCATGTAAACTGGATGTGGTTACACGAAGGCCAAGCACGTCGTTGCGAATGTGGTCATTGGTTTAAGCTTATCGAAAAACCTCCACTTTAAGTTAATGTAATTCCTTGTTAATTAGTAATTTGTTTAAAACATAGAATTAATATTGTATAATACCAAACATTGTTTCATTTATACCTATGGTATCCTATCTTCGTAAGTTCAAAATAAATTATACAGTGTAATTCTAACTGGAAAGGATTGCAAATACTTTTACTATTTCTATTTAATGTTTTTGCCTTATTATTTTTTACAAATTACTAACTGTAGGATATTTAAACAACAATGCTTCTTTTATTATAAACTTTTATTGTAACAAAATTTTATTCACAAACGAATAGTTTTTATTACAAAGTTATTTATTACATAGACCATTGATACATACAATTCTCTCTAGTATTAAAAATGTTATGAATATCTACTATTTATAAATGTATGCAAAAATATCAATGTATACAGTAAATAATTCCTTAATTAATTTAGAATACAGTCGTGTTTATCTACTAGCATACAATTTATTTTTAATTATATGTAATGATTAACTATATACATTGATGTAAAATTTCACAAAATTGTATGCATAAAAATATTTATGCATACACGTTTCATAAAATGAAAATTTATGATTATTTTAATATTATTTGTTATAGACAGAATTACTTTACATGACAATGATGTTCTGTTGAATGTGATACTATAAAATTGATAAAAAAATTAAAATATTTACAAATTAATAAATAAATCAGTATAGAATCATCATATAAAGTATAACTATGCTGATGTATGGTGAAGTTGCAGATCTTTTTTGTATTTAATATTTAAACTTTATTTCAATTTCAAAGACATGATTTTCATAGTCCCTTTGAAAGGATGAATTTCTTGAAGTTGTTAAAACATCTGTCCTTGGTCTACGAAATAGTAGTACATGAGGTTCTAGAAATATTAAGTGTTTCTCTTTAAATTATGATTGAATGAAACAATAACTAAACCTAATATTATTGTTATAATTAATATTTTTGCTATGAAAAAGCATATTTATTAAGAAACATAATGTCTTTAATTTCTTACCTGGTACATGCATCATATAATGAACCCAACCTGGACTTTGTTGAACTCCTAAATTTCTCCACTCAGTTTCTGACATAAGATGAGTTTTTGGTACGTGTCTTGCTAAATCTGCTGGTAAAATAACGTGCCTATAAACAAAGAAATATATAAATTTTAAGTGATAATTTTAATTATAAGTAATGTGTTTTGGCATTATATATATTATATGTAACATTTATAAAGTATTAACAGAGTACACTTTCATACAGATTAATTTTACATTGACATTAACATTATGATTAACTTATTTAGTATCACTGAAGCACCATTAACAAATAGTCATAATTTTTGAATAAGAATGATAAATATATATATATATGTGTATATATACAAACCTATACTCATACTTATCATCATTGTACTTTCCAGAGTATTGTATTTGATCAACTGGCATTTTGAAAATGCAGCAATGTAAATTGTTTTTTCCTCTATAAAAACAGTGCGTGTGTATATAAGAATAAATATCACCTCGTCATCGATATTATTACATGTGCTGTAGCATTCGAGCAATTTAATTTCCACTCTTTTTGAAAAGCCATAACAGGTAACAGTGACTACAGCTACAGAAAGACTTTAGTTCCCGTTATCGACGGGTCATAATTTTCTTAGGGGTCCTAGACACCCCAAGGGTGAGGTTAAACCTCAATGTATGTAAGTACATACATACGAAACACAGTCGAAATGACAATCATACCTGTCTTACCAGTCTTTCCTTTACCACACCTTGCAATGACAATTACTATTTTCTTTAAATAAGTCTAAACCAGCACAAGACTGTAAAATTATTAAAATAATTGTTTGACAAACTTGTACTCATAAACTTGTATTTTAAAAAGACCGCCATAAATTAAGTGAGGTTAACTAGCATCATCTACCGGGAGAAGGTGTAAGCTACTTGCATACATATCGACCGAACCACCGGCAGTCGGTAAGTTGCCGACTTATCACCGACAGTCGGTCAGTTGTTCTACTGATTGTTTCCGCCATTTTCAGATGTATATTGTAACAAAGTACTTTTTACGAGCAATTTGATTTTGCAATTAAATTGTAATTAATGTGTTATATTATACACGAATTGTAAGATATAAAATTAAGCACTTTAAGTTTGCGATTTTATCTGGGACAAACTTGTATTAACTTCATGAGTCTTGGTAAATAAATCATTATAAAACAGCAAGTACGTTTTTAATTAATTACCTTAATTTCCTTCCCGGTGTTTAGATAATTTAAATATGCTTCCCTTGTTTCCCTTGTTTCCCTTGCTTCCATTGCTTCCCTTGCTTCCTTTGCTTCCGTGGCTTCCCAGTGCTTCCCTTGCTTCCTTGCTTCCTTGCTTCCTTGCTTCCTTGCTCCCTTGCTTCCTTGCTCCCTTGCTCCCTTTGCTTCCCGTGCTTCCTCGCTATATTCCTTGCATCCTTGGCATACATTTTGGAACCTCTAGTGCAAACAGCGCCCTCTGTCGGCAAAAATCCGAACTAAATTTTCGTTGTCGAATCAGCGCCATCTGGTTTCGAAAAAAGGAACTAAAGCATGCAGAGATTTTGGCCCTCTGGCGGCAAAAATCTGAACTAAAATTTCGACGTCGAATCAGCGCCATCTGGTTTCGAAAAAAGGAACTAAAGCATGCGGAGATTTTGGCCCTCTGACGGCAAAAATGTGAACTAAAATTTCGACGTCGAATCAGCGCCGTCTGGTTTCGAAAAAAGGAACTAAAGCATGCAGAGATTTTGGCCCTCTGGCGGCAAAAATGTGAACTAAAATTTCGACGTCGAATCAGCGCCGTCTGGTTTCGAAAAAAGGAACTAAAGCATGCAGAGATTTTGGCCCTCTGGCGGCAAAAATGTGAACTAAAATTTCGACATCGAATCAGCGCCCTCTGGTGGCGAAAGGGGGAACTAAAATTCGACTCTACTTGTCGGCTTTGGTGCAAGAATGTAAGAATTACAGGTATATAAGTGATGCGGTGACGTAAGAAATACAGAAATGAAAGGGATACAGGGATAAAATGATACCGAGGTTGGCCCCACGAAGCCCACAAAAGGGAATGAAATAATAAATAACTGGGAAGGGAAGGCTTAATCCCATAAAGAGGGATAAAATAATAAATAACAGGGAAGGGAAGGCTTAATCCCATAAAGAGGGATAAAATAATAAATAACTGGGAAGAGTGATAAGAGGGATAAAATTATAAATTTCATTACCCTTATGGCTAATATAATATGTACATAAATATATATTTAACAAGTAAACATATGTATATATATGTAGAAGTTTTAATATCTATTATAAAATGCAAGGTTTATGTCCGTTGTGTTTAAAAAATGGCTTAAAGAAGAAAATAAAATTATTACAGATTAATTTACAAGAGGCAATATGGATGTGCGAAGAAGAAAAGGTAAAATTCGAATTCTCTTCCTTTGGGAAATAACATAACCTGTTAATGTTATTATACTAAGTTTGAAAGATAATTATAATTCTAAAGTGCTGTATTCTTATTTTGAATTAGATGATTAACTGATACACTTTATTTTTTAGTGTGTGTGGCCTTTTGGCTGTGAAGATTTTACATTTTGCCAAAGGTTAGTGGGGAAGATATGGTCTTGCTATTGGGACGATAATATACCACCAAAATTAAAAGAAAATCTGATATTACCAGTAAAACCATCTATTATACCCATTAAAGATCCACCAAAAGAATGTATCAGTTCTATTTTAGATTTAAGTCCTTCAGATAATAATTTAAATATTTCTGTTAAGGAAGAATCAAATATAGTATTACAGATCAATACAGAAGAAAAATATAACTTAAATAATAAAATTATTACTCCAAGTTTGAATGATAATAATTTGCAATCAAGCAGTAATAAAATAAAAACTGAGAGGACTGAAAATTCATTAAATAAACACATTAAAAAAGAAATTGATGTTTTTACAGAAAATATTAAAAGCATAAATAATGTTAAAGGAATTCCTAAGGTAACAAGTATTGAAAAGACAATTATTGATATTTCTAATGTTAAAACAGAGAATCAAATTTCTGTGAATCAAGATCAAAATAAAAACATTTTAAGTAATAATGTAAATACAAATACTGTAGAACATAATTTATCTTTACCATTGAATGATAAAATTCAGACTATCCCTGATTCATCAGATTACAAAGAATTACCAAAATTGGGACCATCTAAAAATGTTCAATTGCTTAATGAAGTAACAGCAAAGTCTAATTTAAATGTAACTACAATGCAGCTAGATGGTTTACCCCCCATAACATTAGCATTTGAAATGCCAGTATCCACAACAGTTCCTGAAATAGTAACATCTAATGTACGCCAAAATGATTGTAAAAGAATTGTTACTGAATGTCTAACAAAACCAATCACTTTAGATATGGAAAGCGTATCTTCGAAAAGAAATGTAACTAGTGGTAAACAGTATGAGAAGTTCAGTTTCAGTGCTCTTAAGAAAAAGAAGGAGATTAATAATTCAACTAATGCAAGCAGTAACAGTAACAGTTTTCAGAATGTAAAACCAAAGCTTGAAACAAAAAATGTAGCGAATAATTCGATAGCTAATGTGAAGAAAAGAAGCTGTACTGAAAACTTTCATGACATTCAAAGTATTGCAAGTTATAATAAAAATTTTAAACCAATAACTTCAGTTACAGATGTAACTGATACTTCTAAATTAAACCAAGTTAATAATTATGAATCCAGTTTACCAAATCAAGATGTATCAAATAATGAAGAAACTATATCAGATACTTCAACAAGTACTGCTATAAATATAGACACTGTTTTAACAGATTTCTTAACTAATGATTACAATGTTTCTGAAGATATTAATGATGAATGGTTAAATTCTTTATTAAGCTAACATTTAATTATTAGCTTGTTATTTTACTACAAAAGTACTATGTTATTCATTTATTTTAGTTTGTTACATTTTTAATTTACAAATAATATATACTCAAAAAGATTGAGTATCATATTTTTTACTTGTAATTACGACTTACGATATTTTAAAATAAATTGTGATCATTGTATAATTTTGTTTCATATATGTTATATTTTACAAATTATGCATACATTACTAAGACGATAGCAAAACTCACTTTTCTAACATTATCTGTACTGTCCAAACGATTATTTTAAGATGTTGTATTTCTTTATAATACATACATAAAATGAACGCATTTAAAATTGATAAATCACCATTAATGCATATTTCATAATCTAAAATTAAAACAGTTTTAGTAAATAATAATGAATATACAATTTCTTATACTCTACAAAAATAAAATTATACTGTGTAGTTTTTCTTCCTAACGATATTTAACAATAATACATGAAATAGAAATCAAATGAAGTGAAAGTAACATATTCAAGAACTCAGTGCAAAAAATATATTTATATTCTACAATTACAGTCAATTGTAATTGTAGTAAAAATAACAATTTTTACTTATGAATAGAAGGGTATTTATAAGCACTGTAAATTCAGCTCGTTTCTTTATCTTTTGAAACTTCTATTTTTCGACCTAAAAGATCGTATTTTGAATGATTTGGTTCGGGATCTTGATCGGTATCCGAACTACAATCACTGTCACTAGAATCTTCGTAAGAGCCAAGTCCAGGTAAAATTCCAATACATTTCATGCCACTGCCTAAACTTACTACATTTTTATTTTGAAAGGAGACATCTTCAAACGTATCGGAATCGCATTTTAAACTCTCACTCACTGGCTGTTCATTTACTTCACACTTTTCTTTTTTCGGTGTATTATTTTCTTCGACTGGTGATAATTTTCGCTTAACGCCTCGTGTGATATCTCCTATAGACAGATATAATATTTAAATAATTATGGAAGTAAGATCTTTCAAATGATTTCCAAATATTATTTTTTACCTTGTTTTTGTTTTTCCGAACGTTTCACTACAACTCCAGCTAATAATTTTAATTGCGAAGTACGGCTACTGAAAAATAAAATTTATTTTTAATATCACTTAATATCACCACAGTAAAAGGCTATTATTATCTATTTATTGTTAGTTGTAATAACACAAATGATCAAAAATATTCGTATTACCTCCCAGACGAAACATTCTTATTGACAATTTGAGGATTTTTTAATTCTTGTTTCAGTTTTTCATTTAATGATTTTTCCTGTAAGGAAGCAACAGCTGCTTTAAAATCACGCATCTCTTTTTCTTCTTCAAGATTTTTTTTACGTTCTTCTTCTAATTTAGTTCTATCCACTAAATCCAAAAATTCTACTTCATCATCATCTAAGCCCTTTATCATATTTTCTGAAATCCAAGAAATAGTTATATACATAGAAAGAATATATATCTTATAATATATAAAATTCATATTATATAATCATTGAAGTCTTAATTTACTTAGTTTGTGTGCTTCTTCATATTCCGAATCTCGCTTGTTTTTCTGTTCTTGTAATCGTTCGTATAAAGATCTTGGATCGTATTGTTCCTCTGGTGCTTCTAAAATAATTAAAAAATAATACAATGGATAATTAATTGGAAAAGATCATATTCTTATAATTTCTTAATGTTTTCATTCTATATAGGGATAGTAATTATTAAATAAAAAATAAAAATCATAATAACCTAATGGTTGATCTGCAGTTCGTACACGTTCCCATTCTTCTTGTCGTATCCTTCGTTGTTCTGCAATCTCAGCTTCAGATATAAATCCTGAACTCATTGTGTACCAAGTAGAAAACCCTGTATTTACAATAGTAACATTTTAATTCTTTATGAAACTAAGAATATTACATATAATTATTTAATTATTAAATTATATGAAGCTAATACAGTTTATTTTAATACATATATATGTAATATTAAGAAAAGTTATTGTTTCATTACAGATTACAAGTAAAAACATGTAATAGATAAAAAATCTTACAAAACTATTAATGTATAATAATACAATCACTAAATAAAATGCCTCAAATAAAATAAAGCACTTACCAGTCTTATCTCTCACAATAAATTTTGTTCTAAATTATACAAATATACAGTAGTACAACAAATATACTTTTTGAAGTTTCTAATTTTCAAAATACTCAGCATTTATGAACAGTTGTTCACTCTTCATCATAAGATGTTTTGTACTTAATACATGAAATTACAAATTTAAGAAATAAAGTATATTATAACTTTAACATTTTTTGTTAGTAATATTTAGTACTTTGATTTAATAATTCAGGAACAATTCCTTACAAAATCTTTCTTTTTAATAAGTAAATATGTACATACACTCGGATAAATTTAACAATCGTCCTTCGAGGGCAAATATTTGATATTATTTAAAGACTATGAAGGTTAAGTTTCAGATACTAATTTGAATTATTATTTTACAGTTCAGTAATGAATATTTTAGTATAAATATTCTAAATAATCAAACTTAAAACCAGCAATTCTTAACGTCTTATTAATCTTTATCATGTAACTATACTTTAGACACCTTGTATGTATATTAAGTGCTTGTAGTTACCAAATTATAGATTTTACACGCATGCGCACAGAGCCAGATGTATGCAAATAATTTGTGTCGGCATAGCTGAAGCTTCATATCAATTACAATATATCAGTTACCTTATGAGAATTATCGATTTAATTGTGTCGATAACGTACCGGGTTAGTTCTGTTGGTAAATTAACTATATACTCCATTGCTACAGAGTTCATTACTTCAAGACTAGATGGCACTGATTAATAAAATATGTTACAATATCACCACATTATTAACATTAATAATAATACATACATTTAGCAGTAATGCTAGAAGGTAGTAGAAAAAGTTACTTCAAATATATTTATTTGTTTACAAATTATACATAAGTTTCAGGAAATTCGAATGTTACATCCCGACCAGTTAATTTCTTATACACTGCCGCAAAGGTATCAACCTATTAAAGAGAATTAATAATTTATTTAATACATAAATAATAAAAATGATATTTTGTAATATATGTCTAGAATTACATAACGGGAAAATTTGTACCATTTACCTTATGCTCAATGTTTGTTTGTTCATTTTTGTCCAAATGAACTTTGATAAGTTGTGTACCATCAAGTTTAATTCTGATACGTTTGCCAACAATTTCTACTGGATATACTAAATCTTCCAATAACGCATCATATACTGCAGTTAAAGTACGGCTGGAGGAATATTTAATACATATTTGTTATTATTTTATTTGGCAATATGTATATTAACCTTATTTACAATAATATACCTTCTTGGCCTCTTTTGCTTATTCTTAGTACGTGTTTTTCTTGTTGGTTTAGGCAAGATCTTACGTTCTCCAACAAACATCACATGTTTCCCAGAAAATTTCTTCTCTAATTCACGTACCAGTCTTGTTTGAATTTTTTGGAATGCCTTTAATTTTGGCATAGGTACATATATAATGATGCACTACAAATAAACACATTGATGTTATAATATAAACATAAGAATATTTGCAAATCTGATTTCAATTAAAGTATTTATTTCCTCTAATCAGTTACTAAATGAATAATATGTTTAACTACAAAGATGTATTAAGAGGTTGAAATAAAATATTTAAAAAATTAATATAATGTCATTTTACCTTCTTGTTATTGGTCTCTATTTCACGTGCTTTAGTAATATACAATTCTCTCAATTGCGATTTTAAATCACTATTCATTTCCAGCTCCAGTAGAGCCTGGGAGATGCTGGCTTCGAACGCATCAGGTTCGGCTCCACCACTTTTTATTATTTTAGCGTTTGCTGTGAACATCTGAAAAAAATAATTAGAGGTTAGAAAATTGTTTATACATTGATTATAAATTTAACACTATCTTTTTATCTGCTAATCATTTTAGCTAAAACAAATCTCATTCAAGATCGGTAGTATACATAAAAGTGAAATTTTAAAACTAAATTTGATGAAGTATAATATGCTGTCAAATATTTGTAGTGCATTGTATCAAGTGAAATCCAATTTTATCGAACTTTGTATATGCGATCCAATGAAAAACCTTTATTCATTTGATATAATGCAATGTTAGGAATAGTATGCAAAGAATCATACAATTTTCTCTAATTCATTTTGACTCTGTTTTTAAGTAAAAACCAAAATGTTACTCGTGCGTACCTTGCCGACATCCATACCATGGGAAAAAGATCCAGCAACCATTTATGCAGTAGTACCAATCATTTCATTTATAAAATATCTCTATATTTTATAATTATGTGTAATTATAGAAAGATGTAATTACTGAATATAAAAAAAGTATACATCTCATAATAAATATTTCAATTTTTATATTCTAGATTAATTATATATAAATATAAATGCACAAATTTTGTCTAGTAATTTTGTATTTAAATTGTGTACATACGTATATAGGCTAGTATCTTCAAAATGTTAGAGTGGCACGGACAAAAATTGTTTTGTGAAAATGGGGTACAAGATGTTATTTGTAGAGGTTATATGAATAAGGATTGGTTTTCTGAAATATAAACTAGCATTAGAAATATGGAGCATTCCAACGATCCTCAAGAGAAGAATTTTCAACCAACTTTTACACTTTTTGGTGAACCAATTATTAAAACACGATGTCAAAGGAATGCTTTGATATCTGGCATTTCTGGAGGTATATTATCTGGATTAGTAGCATTTTTATTCACAAGTCAACCGAGACGATCAGTGTACATAGGATTTGGCGGTTATTTAGCAATAACGTTTTGTATGACTTGTTATTGTACATATGATGAATATTCATTGCGAAAACAAGCAAGACTTATTAAGACAGCTATATATGAAATAAATGCGTCAAAGAAAGGTTCTGAATCCAGTAATTCAAGCCTAAAAGTTGAAGACGCTTAATAATGAAATGTTTTTCGAATAAAAAGTACTACAGACTTGTATGTAATCTTCATATAAAAAATACATAATAGATGTAATAGTACAAATTTATATGAACCAAGTATTTTGTAATTTTAATTCTGTAAATATATTACAATTAAAAGTAAAGTAATACGGACTTGTGTTAATTTTTACACTTACAATTTTAATTTTATAAGTTAGGTCACTCCCACATAAGAAGGACGTGTATGTATGTATATGATTCAAATCGGAATGTCCCTAGATTTGGAAAAATTTTTTTCCGTTACAGACAGCGTGCGAATCTCAAATGTCTTCCAATGCAATATCTCTATTTGATATTCATTTATTACCATATACTACTCTAGCCTTGAACATAATATATCTTATCTACTATAAAATATTTATTTCACACACTGTTCACTGTTTGATAAATTATCAACAGATATGTAAAAATGAAAAGGTCAACTCAAATAAGAATACAGAAAGCAATATATTTATACTTATACTGAATAACACACGATAATGTTTCTGAAAACAATTTTATTTCATAGAAATCCGAATTATTGTGATCGTTGGAACTACATTCTTTAACGTTGGTGTTACATCATAGTAAGATGGATTTATCTAACGGCATTATCTGGTATTACAGTTTACAAATAAGGAAACTTGTATTATCAATTACTCTGTGCTTAGAAAAGGAATGGTGTATACATATAAAAATGAGTAATGCTCTTGTTAATAGGAGCATTATTTAACTGGATTTAAATATAAAAGCACAATAGAAAAAGTTAAAACATTATAACTTCACAGATAAATGCATTATATACCAATTATGTAACACTCACTATGAACTTTAGAAATGCAAATACTCACGAAATTGCTTTCCTTAGATACTAAAATGCAAACAGTACACACAGAAGAAACTATTTTATGAAACTTTCCATACATATGTTTAACTGTGCCATACCATTTAAAGGAGAAATATTGCATGGAAGAATGTGGATCTAAAATTATTTTCACCTGTTTTGTATTCAATGTCAATATATGATAAATGCATTCCATATAGAGGGTAAGTAATGATTAAGTAAAATTGAACAACTTTGTACTAAAAGAAAAAAAAGAGACAGAGAGAAAAACGGAGAGAACAGTGCTAGTGAAATCTAATCTGTAGTGTATTCCAACCTTAATTATTTGTAATAAAAAAACAATACAATACAAATAATTTGTTGTACCAGTTTGTAAAAGTTGTACATTTCTCTTAATGTAAAACTAAATCCAGCGTTAAAGAACAATGATGATGATCAGGATGAATGAGTCATACAATAAAGACAGCAACAGTTGTATGCGACAGCTAAATAAAAATTCAGCATTAGAGTATCTAGTTAAACAATCTACAATTCTCCACAGTCGGCTACCACAATTTTTTTGGAAGTTTTTCCACTTTGAGATCCCATTCCCTCTAACTGAAATGAGAAAAACAAATATTATCTCTTTTATTTATTATAAAAAATAATATGTGAAGTAAATCCATTACTCAAATTTTGTTGAATTATGTAACATCTATTAAGTTGAATAACATGAAGATTAATATGTTATTTTAATGTTAAGAAAGAAAAAGAAATTTAAAATTACATACTTTTCTAACAACATCCATTCCTTCAACAACTTTTCCAAACACAACATGTTTGCCATCCAGCCAACTAGTTTTGGCACTGGTGATGAAGAATTGACTACCATTGGTATTTGGACCAGCATTTGCCATAGAAAGGATACCAGGCTCAGTATGTTTCAGGACAAAGTTTTCATCGTCAAACTTTGAACCATAGATGGATTCTCCACCAGTGCCATTATGGTTAGTGAAATCACCTCCTTGGCACATAAAGTTTGGGATCACTCTATGGAAGCTGCTTCCTTTGTAACCATAGCCCTTTTCACCAGTACACAGAGCTCGGAAATTTTCTGCAGTTTTTGGGACAACATCGTTCCTCAACTAAAAATAATTTATTAATTTCTAAAAATTTGCATACATATTTAATTTTATATGAATATAAATTACAATTAACCTTGGAAACTGATAGATCATATAAATTATTCTGATGAGATTGTATAACTGAACTATAAGTAGCTCTAATTTTATTTAATAATATATGTTTATTGATTTAAAAATAATTAAATTTAGAAAGCTGTAAAACTAAATATAACAGCAGGTTTGTTTTTAGCAAATATAGATTTTTACGTCTACTTTCATGTTACTTATATATCTTTTTTCATTTAAACCGAACTATTTAAAAAAAACTATTTTTTTTTACATTAAGTACACTATGATAAGTTATTACAATGATCAATAAAAATAATTTTGCAATTACGTCTTAAAGTTTCACCTGCGTAAGATACGTAATCGAACGTATCAGCGACAATCAGCGAATGGAAAATTTTACGGTTCAGTAGAAATTCCGAAGTCGGAAACGAAGCACCGAACTAGTTTACAATGCCTCTTACCGCATCAAACGAAAAAAAATAATCATCGTATGCGTACAATACAACAATTTTCAGGGGATAATTAAATAATTACTATTTTAATAAGAATTCAGGTCGAAAATTGAGTCGCATAACCGGCTTTTAAGAAAATTCAAGATGGCCAATCACGCCGGGATTCTAACGACAACGTGTTTAAAAGATGAAAACCACATTAATTAAAACGAATTTTCACCTACCTCCATCACGATACGTCCCACAGGCTTGGTGTCTGCAGTCATATCAAAGAAAACACGTGGTAAACCCATTTTTTCGGCAACAGCAGCAAATGTTCGTGACACCAATGTAAAAGACGGTCGTCTTGGCCGGGCGGTGGCTCCCAAATGGTTCAAATGGCTGAAGGTCGAATCAATTGACAGCCGGCAGATCGATCTCAACGCCATGTTCCGAGTGTTACTCCCTCAAAAATCAATTTCAAACAACTTAATCGTTCTATATCGTTCTGTAATGGAATTAATATTATGTTTTCCAAATAATCAACTATTATTTTATAGTATTATTATGTAATAAAACGATGATTTTCTGTTTAACATCGACAGTTATTGAGCGACATGTGTGCTTTCTGTTTTTGACCAATCTAATACAGTATTTCTAGCGATCTTGCTAAGCAACCAATCACGTGCGACTTTTTAAAGTATATAAGTACGTGCATCGGATCTAACGGAAGGAACATTTAAATTACGAAAAAAAAATGAAGTCATTTAAAATACCAAATTATATAAATTATCATAGTTTAAAAATGTATTTTGTGTAGCAATTTCTCCTTATATACTTAATATATTGTTATATCTTATTAAATCAAGAATACGTTTTGGGCATATTTCCTTCATAACCTAATCAATATTGCTTTGCGTTTTATCGTAAGCGTTATCATTGATTTACATACTGTTATTTATGGTATCAAAAACATGTATATTTTATGTACTGTTGGACTGTTATTATTTATAATATTTCTCTTTGGAATTTAGATTATGTAAAATAAAGTTTTATTCTATAATATAAGTAGATCATGTAATTATACTACTAATGTTATACACTTATTTGACATAACCAAAGGATGTTATGTCATGCACTGCCTTGAATCTTGATAATCTTGATTGTGGACCAATCATGATTCTGTTCAATTTCATTGTGCATCTGCGCCGGATATGACGTTTCAAAATTACCATTGCAACTACTGCCGCAACGAATAAAATACAGAACGTTTAATTCTCACAGCGGGATCATCAAATTATTTTATGTTTAACCGGCTGATTATTCTATTAATAGTGAAACATACTTCTAATGCAAATACACGAATTAAATCTAGGGTATTGGAAAATATCAGCATTCGATAGAAAAATAATTCAGTTTTTCACTAAATTTAATTTGACAAGAAAACTTCTATAGGGCTCTGACACATACAACATAATCAAATTAAAAGTTTTAATACTTTTCACGAATTACTAACAACAAATTAATAAATTAAATACTCAAGCAAATTTGAACTAAGATTTATTTAATGAAAAATCACAATAAAAACATTTTATTCTGAACTTAAAATTTAATTTACTTCCTGCATAGAGCTGTATTTGAGCTTAGTAGTTATAGCCGAAAAGATGGCGCCTGAATGAAGGACGCTCAATTAAGAGTACTCGAGACTTTGTTAAAGTTGTATTGTTAATAATATTACATATTTCATAAAAAATGAGTAATCTTTCGCCATTTGGAGGTGGTAAAAACCCACCGTGGGTTCGTAATGCAGGTAAATCAATTGCATTATTAAAATATGCTCCTTATCGTTGTTCCGTGTGCAAGTCAACAACGTTGCCAAATTTCTGTTATAACTTACATGAGCGAATGAATATATTTACAAAATGTTTCTTAGCAATGTTTTATATATATTCAAAGTATTAAAAAATAATTCATCATTTCTGTTCTAAAATACTGGGTACAGACATGTTTTCTTACGAACAGAAAGTATTCAAAGTACCTCCATCTCTTCTTTACAATTACCATTGAATCTTCTTTTTCTTTTCCTTAAATAAATTTTATATAAAATCTTAATAATTTACGTTTATAAATATATAAATAACAAACGCCTCTTTTTTAATTTTGTTAGATATTTTTACACTCATTTGTTCATGCGTATTGAAAATGGAAATCTCTTATTATATGTATCATTTAAGTTGCATAATAAATTTATAATGCATTGTTTTAAAAGTATTCAAGATTATTTTCTACACATATTTGGCACATATTTTATTTTTAATTGTACATAGGACAGGGAATTCAAAATATTCAACAACAAATGTTAGGTCAAGCAATGGGTAGTATAGGTGGACAGCCTATGGTTCAATATCAGCAACAAACTCAACAAGTTTATCAGCAAAGTTTAGGATTGCAACAGGTCAGTCAATAAAATGTATTATTAAATTGTATAAATAGTATCTATTTTGTTATACAAAAATTTAGGTAGATTATTTGATGTTAAACGATTTATTAATAGGTCTTTAATAACATATGTTTTATAAAATAGCCCAATATAACAATGGCTTCAATGGCAACCCTTGGATCAAACTTACCATCCGGTATAGCTGGACAATTGTATCCACAAGTTGCCACTGTTTCTTATCCACCGCCAAGAGCATTAAACACAAATGCATTTCAACCATCTGTTGCTGGTGTACCGCAACAAGTACAACAAAATGTACCTTCATCGTCTACTAAGCAGAGAGTATTTACTGGCACGGTGACTCAAGTATATGATAATTTCGGTTTCGTAGATGAAGATGTGTTCTTTCAAACAAAGTAATTCAATTATATTTCAATCACACAACGAGCTCGATATCTGTAATATACATTGTTAAAATATTTTTATTTCAGTGCATGCGTCAAAGGATCCAACCCAGTTGTTGGTGATCGGGTACTTGTAGAAGCGTCGTACAATCCATCTATGCCATTTAAATGGAGCGCTACTAGGATACAAGTACTCCCTATGGGAAACAATAACAGTAATACTAACACGCAACAAAGTAATCAAACCTCTCGTCAACAGCAGCAACAGCAACAGCCGCAACAAAGTCGTACCTCAGGAACCTATAATGCTGTGCCTCCGCCTGCTGAAAATGCTAATAATAGGTAAGTAATACAAATTTATATTACAGAAATATTGTTTACTTACGATGATGTGGTTTTTAATAGATTTGCAACTAGCGCGACGAGTGCCAATACAGCTAGTAATCGTAATAAAATTGGAAGAGTAAGAGAAAGATCTCCTCGTGAACGAAAAAATGAAGAGGAAGAGATTGAACGAAAGAGACGCCGCGAGGAAAGAATCAGAGAACGCGAGAAAAAGGAGGAACGTAGTCCATCGAGAACTAGAAGAAGTAAATCTCCAAGACCACGGCGACGTACTAGAGTTGTACCACGTTACATGGTACAAATACCGAAAATAGCTCTCGATCTGTAAGCGTACTTGTCTTAACTGATAAGATATTTACAACATTTTATCATTTACTTAATTTTATAATTATAATTCTAGACCTGAAGCAGATGTACTTGAGATAAGGAGACGTTACCAGAATATGTATATTCCTAGTGACTTCTTTTCTACTAATTTCCGATGGGTTGACGCCTTTCCACCGCATATGCCATTTACTCTTAATAAACCATGCTCTTTTCATGTGATGCATAAGGACATTGATCCTTGCACTGAAAATACAGCGGTGTTAGAACCTTCGGATGCCGATTATCTCTTCTCTGCGAAGGTTTGTTACATTTTTTTGAAATGATTAATTATAAAATACCTTATGTCAAGATTTCCTGTGTGCTATAGGTTATGCTGATATCTATGCCTGCCATGGAAGAGATATATAAACGATGTTGCGGTGTATCCGAGGATAGAGATCCAGATCGTGATTATGTACATCCTACACGTTTAATAAATTTCTTGGTAGGCTTACGAGGTAAAAATGAGACAATGGCAATCGGTGGGCCATGGAGTCCTTCATTGGATGGTCCTAATCCTGAAAAGGATCCATCGGTTTTAATCAGGACAGCAGTGAGGACTTGTAAAGCGCTTACAGGGATAGATCTCTCCAGCTGCACCCAGTGGTACGATTCCTAAAATACTTCATATCATTTTTCTTTTCAATGTAGTTTAAAGCACTTCATCGAAATAGTAACGTGATGCTATTTAATATCTCTGTCCATTACTGTTTCATTGCTTGCCAATATTATAATCGAGTTAAAGATTACCGTGAAAGCTAAAAAAAAAAAAGTTGAAAGATTTTGGACTCGTCGACTCCACATTGTATAAATGTATAGTACATATTCTTTGACGATTATGAGAGAAAATGTTATAGTATTAAGAAATATCCGGCAGGTGTACCATCTGTGAACTTCTAATACGAGTTCTGACTTGATAACCTAAGGTTGTAGTTCAGGCAAAACAGAGGAGGTATGTATTTTGTTGAATACACAAGTGATCAATGGAGATTGCTGCACTGGATCCTGTATCGAGCACCCAGATGATGATATAGAAGCGGTCAGGGGCATCACTATTGTTCTGTGGATCCATGTGACCCCCTACTAAAGTTGTGCTTTATCAAAATGGTCTACGATTGTGCGCTATGTGTGGCTTTGTATGCAGAGTGTGCGGGCTTAACGAACAAGCGAACAAAAACGAACACTTAGCATATAAGGCAAAGCTAAGCGGCATTAACCTGAGTTGACGTTTGGGTATTGTTTTTCCTTGCGGCACAGGTACCGCTTCCTGGAACTCTACTACAGACGTGCAGAAACGACCCACAAGTCGGGGCGAGTGGTGCCCTCTCGCGTTGAAACCGTCATACTATTTCTCCCAGATGTATGGAGCTGTGTACCTACCAAATTGGAATGGGACGGTCTACAACTCAGCTATAAGAAACAACTGGAACGAAAATTGCTGCGTACCACCTCTAGCCCCGACGATTCGGATGCTGCCAATGACACTGATGAGGCTGCCGTCGCTGATCAAAAGGCACTGCCAACATCATCCCATATATTACTTTTACCTTTTTATTACATTATATAATCGTGAAACTGTTTTCCTACCATTACTAAACTGGATTTTCAATATAGGCTCTACTTGCTCATTGATCCTATATCTTCAAGTATTTATTGATTATTCAATATTCTTTTGAATTTCATTTCAATGCTTTATTTTATAGAACGTTAAAGTAGTCAATTTCTGTACTTTGCTATTTTCATTTTCATTATAAAGTTATTCACTTTTTTGATAACAGAAAGTCATAATAATTTGATAACATGAATAATGTTGTAATTTCAATGAAAACGATAACTCGGTGATACAAGAATTCTTATTGATTCAATGTAATGTTGTACTAAGAGTCTAAAAATGATGCTCATTGTAGCTTATTAATTACAGTGCCTTGGAAGGTTTAAATATAATATAGCGAAGATCAATGAGTAATGTATTGCAAGTATTCCCTTAGCCACTGGCAGTCACATTGCATTAACAAGAGAAGCAAGCAAGCCTAGCTCGGAGAAGAGCGCAGCTGAGCCATTTCCCCCCTTTTCCTGATTACCTTCACCATCATTGATAAATCATTTCAAAAGTATCATTTGATAATCGTTGTATACAACATTATTGATATTATCCATAACCTATCAACCACACAGACACCAGAGCCAGGACACTATGAGAATCTAGCAGTTACTTGAGTCATACTTGAAGGTCATCGTGAATGAAGAACTGTATATATCATTGCAATTGCGAGAGTGGTAAAATTAGAGAATGGTGAAAGAATGAAGAGGGAGTGGTTTCGTTTCGTTATATAGGGGCTGCTTCTGTTTTGTAGTTTTCTGTCATGTTCAAAACTTCTGTAACGTAATGTACAATTTCTTCTTTTCAGGAAGATCCAGTGCCGGAGAAGAAGGACCCCACTCATTATTCTGAACTGGATCCAAAGTCTATGAATGTCAGTTTTACTACAACCTACTCGCCTCATGTTTTATTGATATTTATATTTATGTTACAATTCTTTTTACACAGGTAAATGAATTACGTCAGGAATTAGCTGCCCGTAATTTAAATTGCAAAGGTTTGAAATCCCAGCTGCTAGCAAGATTAACAAAAGCAGCGACATTAGAACAAGCTAAAGAAGAAGGACGGCAGGATGATATCGAAGAGAATGAAAAAGACGTTTCACCTTCACCGAAAGAAGAGGAGGATAAGAAATTTAGAGACAAAGATGTGAGTGAGGTTCCTTTCTCATAAAATTTAAAACATTAACGTGAATAACTAATGCATTCATTTTTGTAACGTTTATGTTCAGCATGATGAAGACAGAAGAAAACTTTGTGAACGTGAACGGATAGCCCTTGAAAAACGGTACACGTTACCAGAATCGTCCCATATTATCGTCCATCCTTCCAGAATGGCGAAAAGTGGAAAATTTGATTGCACTGTTATGTCTTTGAGTGTACTTTTGGATTACAGGCCAGAAGATACAAAGGTATTAAAACTTGAAGTTCGTGTAATTCTACAATATCAAAATTTTTAAGAGACTTGACCAACCCCAGAAGAAAATTCTAGTTATATCAATGCGTATAATCAATTTTCATTTAATTTTTGTTCAGGAACATTCTTTCGAAGTATCGTTGTTCGCGGAACTCTTTAACGAGATGTTGATGCGAGATTTCGGTTTCCGCATTTATCGAGCTTTGTGCAGTCTTCCTGAGAAACCCAAAGAAAAAGATGAAGATAAGAAGAAGGATAAAAAGGATGATAAGAGAGATGAGAAAAAAGATGATAAAAGAAAGGACGACGATAAACGTTGTAGGAAAGATGAAAGGAAGGACGAGAAAAGAAGAGAGGGAAGTAAAGATAAAAAGGACGAGAAAGATGCGAAAAGTAAAACAGACGATAGGGATAGAGATAAAGAAAAGAATGACGATGATGACGACGATGAAGAAGATGAATCTGATGTAATTATTTTTCTATACTGATATCACTGAATTTTTTTTTTAAACTTGACATGATAACTGTATTTTGTAGGATGACGATTCAGTTAAAGATGGTAGGAGAGATAGAGATAAGGATGGAAGAAAGAGGAAAACGAAACTGTACACGCACGATCCTTATCTCTTACTATCTTTCGTTTATTTTGATCAAACTCATTGCGGATATATATTCGACAAAGATATAGAAGAACTTATTTATACTTTAGGACTGAATTTATCAAGAGCTCAAGTTCGTAAATTAGTACAAAAGGTTGTAACCAGAGATTCTTTACACTACCGTAAATTAACAGATAGATCAAGAGACGATGATCCAAAAGAAGAGAAGAAAGACGATAAGGAAACGGATAAGAATGATTCCGCTAAGGAAGACTACGAAGAAGATATATTGCGTTCATTGGCACTTGGTACACTTAATAATTTTGATAGTATATACCGTTATTTTAGTACAACATTAGCATTTTCAATTTTTTATTATTCTTTATAGGAAATAAAAAATTGTTACCAGTATTTGTCGGAAGTGGCCCGCCGTCGAAGAGGGCACGAAGAGAAGATTCACTTGCGGATCAGTCTGAGGAATCAACTATACCAGAAGGTTTCGTTATGTATAAGGGTTCTTTAGTGGATGTAGAAAAACTTGTTAGTCAATTGAAAAGATCGGAGAAGGCTCGGTTAGACACCGAGGAACGTATGATGGAGTTGCAGCACGAGCTTTCAATAGTGAACGAAAAATCTGCTAAACAGACAAATAATATTAAAGCTCTTTCGGAAGACTTAAAAATATACAAAGACAAATTAAGGAATACGGATGAAAAGCTCAAGAAAGTTTCGGTAAGTATTTTTTGTAAATTTTTAAAGAACACGTTATAACATTTTGCTTTTCTTTTTTTTATAGGCTGAGTGCTTGTCATATCTTACTGCAGTAAAAAACATGTATCATATAGCAGCAAAAATGATGCAATCTGATACTAAAAAAGTGGAGATTGTAGAGATACAAGATGAAAAGGTTGGTGAAGTAAACGGATCAGAAATTGAAACAAAATTTAAAACCGACACGAGATGGGGAGACAACAAAGTTCCGATAAAAAAAGAATTCATAGAAACAGACAAGGACAAGAAATGCGACAATAAAATATCAATCAAGAAAGAAATTACAGAAATTGATAAGGAAAAGAAGTAAAATAAAATACACTGTTTATTTATTGTAAAAGATGTTGACGCACTCGTATAAAATTCTAAGTATATTAATAACAAAGAATGACAAACGTGTTTAGCGATGACAGCACTCAAAGTGAATGGGAAAGGTTTACCCGTATGAAAGTAAAATGACTAAAGACTCTGTTTTATAACTTTTTTCACTTAGTGACAATATGTGGTAAACTATTTCTGTTAGAAATAAGAATTGTTCAGTTAACATAAATGAATGAATAATGCAGTTATTAAAACAAATCATTACATTGCAGTTTTTCACATAAATTAATCAAATTTTATGCAAATAGACAAAATTTCGTGAAACTTTTTAAATACTGATGTAACTGTCATTTGCCATAAAGTGCCAGATATTAATAGACAAGTATGTACTGTAATTTCAAAATAAGTTTACGTTTAACATCATTAAGGTGTGATTATTAAAATATTTTCAGATTTTCTGGATAACTAATTCTTTTGCTTTCTATACTTCGTTTCGTGATAAACTGTGATTTATAAAAAAAAAAAAAATATATATTAATCACACAGTAAACCTTTATCTTGGATGGATTATATTTAGAATTACAATGTTAATGTTGTTGCTTTTGTGTACGAATTATACCAATTACGCCGATAATTCTTGAGTGGCCTTAGGATAAATTGAATTTATCATAGGTATTCTTGAAAGCAACAATTGATTAACATATTTGATAGCAGCAGTGTATTTCTATTATGTTATCAATGTATTTATTACTTTGTACACAGAAGACCGCATGGCAAAATAAAACTTTCACACAATATGCATCAACTGTAAGATATACGATAATAATTAATGGGATATCGTTAGCATTGTTTTTCTTGCGCTACTTAAAGGAAATTTTATCTGTTCTGTATTTTGTGTAACTGCTGTAAATACTTTTGCAAGAACGGTACCTAAGAGTAATTTGAACACCAAAGTATTTGTAGACAATTTAGTATCACATGAATATTATACATAAGAAACAATAATTTATTAAAAAAAAAAAAATTGTAAAAATAGCATTATATATATATTATATATCAACTCTTTTATATACATACTTTCTGTCAATACTATCCCAGCGTAAATTTTACATGTTAGTAATGACTCGAACATAGTAGAAAGATGAGTGCTTATGATGTCCCTCATTTTTTGAACGCATTACTCATGACATGAATACAATCTGAACAAAGAAAAACGTGTTTACATTAATTGTCTTATGTGTTCCATGATCAAACAACATACAATGCCAAGGATATTATTTTGTACATATTCTATTATAGACAAAATCTTTTGTAACTTATAAAATTGCATCCATGTCATTATTACGCTAAAAACATATTAATAGATGTAAAATTATAAACAACTGTATATTGAAATATGATTTCTGAAAATTGTAAAATTACTTCCTTGGCAAGTGATGATCTGAAATTTGAAAATATATATCAGCAAAAAAATAATAAATTTTTAACACTCTGTGCAATTTTTGTTTACCTCTGAATTACTAATTTTTTTTCATTATTTTCACTTTAAAGAAATTTGTAAGAATTTCTGATTTCTTAAATGATGAAACAAAATATTAAGACAGGTGAAAATAATGTATTGAAAAATTTCATTAATTATCCTACTATATTTAAGACCACAGAAAGAACGTACTTATACATACAATTTACAAATTAAAACAAGGTTTATTTATTACAGGTTGTAACATATCGATGCTTCTATTTAATTACAAGTGAAAGCTTTCATTTGTACATATTTAAATAAGGCTGCTATTTTATTAAAATCTAATTGTTCTTAGTTTACTGAATATAAAAGATTTCACATGTATAACAAAGCTTTTTAGTCATTTCAGTTAAGAGTTTCTTTGGGTAACTCAATAACTGATCAATTGATATTTGAATGTGCATGCTGAAATTTAATGTCTTATTGGAAGTTTATGGCAACTAAATATACAAGAAAACATTTTTTGGAATGTAATGTAATATAAAATACAATGATCCCAAATATTTCTATGCTTCCTATAAAGATACCACCAGCTTAAAAGATTATCTTTAGATATGCTATATGTTATAAAATTTTTGTATACATTCATGTTAATCTTTTATATTAAATTATAGGATAGAATTGCACTGAATGAAGGTAATTAAAGGAATAAAAAAGTATTCTAAAATAGCAGTCTGTTATTAAAAATTTCTTCTAGTTATATCAGCCTGTTTCATTATGAAAGTGACACACCTATTAAATTTCACAATACACAAAATTACTTTATATTTTTAATTTGCTTTTATTATATCATTTTACAAATTAAAGTATGATTAATAGAATGTACAACATATATGTGAGATATTTAGTATCTCCTGATATCAATTAAACAATTATAGACTTATTTTTTATTTTTTTTAGGAAGCTTTAATATTAATTAATTCATCATGTCACAGAAAGTGCAAAACTGTTACCACTACCAACCAATGTCATTAATATTTATTGTCTTATTTATCATTTTATGTAAATGACTATATTGCAATTTTACAAATCATGTTTAAAAAATAACTATCTGAAATCTAATTGAATAATTACCTCTCATGTTCACTGATTCAGGAGACTCTAAATAGGGTATTAGCGTAGACTGAAACAATTTAATAGCACCGAATATGATATTATAAATTAGCCACAAAATAAATTATAAGTAACATAAAATACAAAAGAAAATTTACAGTACCCTGATTTTAATAGTTACAGGTAACTGCTGAAATCAGGGCTAGTACTGGAAAGTATTATTTAGCATTGAAAATTTGTACATTGATCAAATGAGTAAATAATACAATACAATTGCGTTCATTGATTAAAAATTTTGAAATGATGACTAATGTTTGTGATATTTAATAGCATGGATTATTCCTCTATCTTGTGTCTCTACAGTAAGTACAGAATTGTAAAAGAATATAATGTACATTTTAAAAATGCTACACTACAATGTTACACTATAATGTAATTATATATGGCATAATAGCATAATATACACTATGCAGTACATACACAGTAAATTACATATAGTGTATTATATTATATCATACACTATATACAATGTACAAACAGTGTATAATTGCAAGTGTAGTATATATTGTGAATTATACATAGAGTACTGTATATATGTACCTTATATACTTTAGATTTAGCTGACTTCTCAAGTGAAAAAAAAATGTGTACATGTACACACTGTAATTTTTACACATTACCTGTAACCAATAAATGTGATTAATATCAACTAAAAAATTTGTAGAAAAGAAGATAACTGGATATTCTTTATAATATCACAAACATTATTCGAAGTCTAACTGAAAATTAAAACTATATTACACATTAAAATTTGATCAGCTAGAACTTAACGAATAATTTACAATTAAAAATGAATTTATACAACTCTTTCAGTCCGTTACAAAAAAAGAATTTAGTGATCTCGTTTTGAGTATGATAAAATGAGCGATATCTTTTATAGATGAGATGAGAAAAAAATCAAAAATGAAATATAAACCTTAAAAAATAGGAACTTATAAATTGCCCTTAACTCTTAACACATGATTTGTACATTATTCTTTCAATTTACCTGTAGTTTAAGATATTTTACCAATGAAAAATATCTGCAAAAAAAATTCTACATACAAAATTTTCTTCAAATGATATTTCATAGATCAATGAAATAAATTGACAAAAGAAACTAATATACAATTGAATTGAAATTAAATTGAACTTAAGGTACGTAATATAATTACGTCTTGTGCGATCTGCCTGTCGAGGTTACCGCCCTCGTTGATCGTGTTATGAGAACTGGTGTTGCAAGCTTTCTACTTGTTGGAATACATGATTTAGTAGGACTTCCTTCTGTTTTTATGTCGTTCTGTTCCGTACCGTTCGATTCAATAGATTTCGAGTCCTTTAATTTCAAAATTTTACCGTTCGACGAATTACTATCTACCGTCGATTTATCTATATGCCCGTTTCGACGATGCGAGGTTTCTTCTTGACGAGATTTTATTGTACGCGGTATACGATCGGTCGACTTACGAAGGCTTCTGTTACTAGTAAGCTGTTCTCCAAGTAATGTAGGACGGTGCTGATCCCAGGAATCACTCCATCTGTGTATGAAACAGTAATATTGCATCTTTTGTACTTAGAAATTCATCTTGCTCATTGATTTAATGCAGAGATATATTTTCTTTACTCCGCCTCTAATTTTAAGACTTTTCTATCATTGGGGCGAGTCTAAAGTTCAGCAAACATTTCCATGTCTTTTAAAGTGGTTTACTGTATTTCAAAATCATTATTGTTAAGTTACATTACAGAAAATGAGTATAAACTTACCCGAGGTAACTATCAAAGGCAGCATGAAACATTATTAATTGTGAATCTATTATAATCTTAAAACCATTTATTTAAGGAAAAGGAAACTATTTAATTGTACTTTTCAACTGATCATATATTCATAAATTTATGTTACATGCCATGATAGAATAATTAAGATACTCTGAAATCAAATTACATATTTTATACCACGTACTATTAAAGTTGCGATTCGAACTGTTAAGATGTTAAATTTTAGTTTAATATAGGTTTTAGTCGTTAGATAGGATTTGCACAAGAATCAGCAGAAAAGTAAAGTAGAAGCAATACTATCTTTTAGCATGCAAAAGAATTGTTACTATCTAATCATCAAAGTAATATTAATGTACAAAAGATGCATTATTATAAAGGCGTTTAAGGCTGAAAGAAGCAAATATCCTAATATTAAGTCACACAAACTGACCGATTCTACCTTCCCGATCCGGAAGCTGTTTCACAGGGAATCACCAGAGATTAGTAACGACCAGACCAGCAAGAACAACACATTATTTATGACAAATTTCATGTAAACAAAAAAAATCACCATTTATATTTGCAAGCATGGCAAATCAAAATCACTTTTCAGAATTGTTACCTTCTTTCATTGATGTGTATAAAATTACTCAATTACAGTTGTAGACATTCTTAAGTTGAATTTTTAATTCATTAAATAGTTACTAATTTATTGGATAAGTTGGCTGAGATTTGCCATTGCCTCTACTGTACGGGATAACTATAATACCATATCATAAATATTTATTACTACCTTATTAATAATTTATCGTTTAGTATGACTATCCTGATATAGACAGAGTTAGGCTTAAATAGATTTTGTAGATAAAAATCAAGTGACAAAAGAATCTCACCTAATTAGAGGCCACATAGCGTCGTCCTGTGGGGGTGTTTGCACCAGTGAAGGTCCCGCCGACACTGGACGTGTCTGTACCCATAAATTAAACGTGCAATAAATAAACAGTATATAAGTTTTAACCTCGAGTACACTTTGTTAAGATTGGATTACATAATGGTACCTTTTCCGTTTGCGTAGCAGCGTTACAAGTATCTGGATTAACATTATTATGGTTACTTGCTAAAGCACATGTTTGGCTATCATTGCCATTAGGTCCTTGAAGTTTTGATATTTGGAACTGTGGAGTATAAAATTTTGTATAATCGAACCCTGATTCTAGGATATCGTGAGACATTCTATCTTACAAACATTTTACCTGTAATACTTGTATAGTTCTATCTCTGTCTTCCACTTGGCCTTGCAAAAACACAACCTGTCTACGTAAATCAGCCAATTCATCCGCGATGCTATTACCTCCACTTCCTGGAGAGGTACTCACATCGGCGGTGTTCCCTTCGTTCAGGTTGTAGAAGAGACCATTCTAAAAATTTTGCAAACTTCTTTTACCCTGAGCTTTTGCGTTGACAATATTTATTACAGATAAGTGAGGTAAAAATTGTTGAATAAATATAGAAGGAAATTAAAAATAATGGAAAGTGATATTACTAACCTTCATAGAATTATCGAATGGGTTGAGAGTTTCTGTCTGTGGAGACAACATAGATCACATTATTCATTATAAATGATAGAATGTGCGAATGGCATAACTAGGATTTTTTTAGGGCGGGCCAGGTCCCTAAGGCTTATTAACAGTGTCAGAATAATTAAGATTTTGGAATTTTATAATCTTAGAACGCTGAAGGAGCCAAGCCCACCCTGGGCCTTTACAAAATATTACAAGATATTACTATTACATATAATATACAACAATAAGCAACAATAAAATAACGTAATTAAACAACATAAATATAACATACCCTCGTCAAACCGTTCTCTTCTGACTTGAAGATAAAATCATGGTTGATGACAATAATGAAAAGAACAAAACAGAAGAATTGCGTGTTAATGAAGAAGCATAACATCAACACACGTGTGTGTATGATACAAATTAAAAGAACGTGTTTTATAAATAAAATTATAAATTTAATTACGAAACAAGCTTTAACATTGATTTATATAAATACGTGTATGTAAAAATATTATAGTACCTCCTGAAGTACCCGTTTCAGTTTCAAAAGCATTGTTTTAATCGAAACAATGTCTTGAAACATGTGTTGATACGTATTACGATCAACTCGGAGACTTCCTTCATCTCCAGAATCGAGACTCGGTGAATGGACCTAAAAAATTAATTATTTAGTCAAGTTGTAATTATATGAATTTAATGGCGGTACTCGTAATATATATAGTATGGCTGGCTGTTCGTAACAGAAAATAATGATGAAAACTGAAATTTGAAAAAATGACTCACATTTCTCGATGTTCTCAAAGGACTGGAAAATTGTCGATTACGTAAGTTATCCACAGAACGTGGTGTATCAGTCACTGATCTGTTTCGCCATACCTTTGTCGTCTTATCGCACTCGTTTCTGAAACAAAACAGAGCAGAAAGTTAGTACAAGCATAATAAAAGAATGATAAAAAAATGAATGGTCCTTTGATTCAAGCAGAATTGCGTTATTGTATCACAATTAAAAACAGTAATAATTTACAATTATAAAAATAATAATTAACTCTTCCTGTAATTAAATTATTTACAACGTGTTTCCTTTGCGTTTAAAATTCTTCCAATTTCCATCTGCAAGATATACTAACTTTTTAAAACGAATCATCGTTAGAAGAAACGAAACTACCTTGCAACGTTTGATTTCAAAGAAGGGTTGACGATATTAATGGGGTTGCTGGAGGATTTTCGTTGTCTTGGTACCGGTGAACCGATCGTTGGTGTCGAACTTTCTGAAGATAATCCAGAATCAAGACCATCTTCGCAATGTTCACTCGACACGTGTCTAGATTCGTGTTTTGTATTTCCGCTTGGTGCGTGTGATCTTCCGGTTAAGGTCGTTCGTTTTTTGGCACCCCTTGACCCTTCGGGTATCGACGATGCCATTACACTCAATTAACCACATCGAGTCACTTATGAATGTTAATTATTTCTCCTCGATTTTAAACATATTTTTCTTTATCGCCAAATTACCTGATTGATCTACGATTTTATAATACGGCTTTTGTAGACATTTTGATAAAGAATTTATTTCTTCGATATTTATCTTTAATAAATGTAAGATACAATGGTATGAAGTAGTACTGCGAAGAAATCTATATTCCTAGAAATGGGCACACGGTTACACAGGCCATTGATTTTCAAAGAGTTACACATTTACATTTATTCCAGGTGCAGTTAGCTATAGCCGCTGAAATATAATTGTGATAAAAAAAGAATTCTATAAACTAGTCTCTATGTTTCCTTTCAAGGTGAAAAATGAAACAGATTCTTTACAATACAATGCACGATAGTAATTATCAAAAGGAAATTCCTTAATGAAAGAAACGTTTAAATTTGAAGATTAACTATTTATATCCTTGATAAATGAAGTGTTGGATATGTCCGACTATACATGGACATTTCTACTGTGGAGCTTAACGTGTTAAAAATATGATAGGTTAATCTTCAAATGTAAATCAAACTTCCCCAGGAAAATAGCGATGCCCCTGATACCCATCCTTCCCCGTAGGCATCGCCGGGGAGACTGCCGCTGTAGCGAAAGGGGTCCCCTATATATAGGCCTGCCGCGGACCACCACGCTTACGCGGGAAAATTTGAATTGACATATATCTGTTATATTGAATTTTATAATACATGATCATTAAAAATTATATTATTTTGTATCTAAATTACTTTCAATGTACTTAAAGTATATCCTTAGACGATATAAATGAGTTATATTAATTAAAAATATTCTAGTACCCATTCATTGAAATACTTTCAAGAGGTCTGCCAGTGAAACTCTTCTCCAGACTTCGGTGAATTAAAAAGAATTAAAGTGTCCTTCAAAAGAGTTTCATACGTCTAATACGTTTAAATAGAAAGAACCTTAATTCCATACTTTTTAATTAAAATTCCGTAGTCTGGTGTATACGAATGATATCTTCTTACGCAATAACAATTCCTACGAGTATGATTCACTATTTCAAGTATTATTAAAAATAGAAGAATTCATATATTATTTTCATAAGTATTTATCACTGACAATCGAGTGCACAGTCAATTATCAATTTTTATTTGTAACAAAAAGTACCATGATACATTTTCAATCTCCGGTGTTATTTTTATAATACTTTGTTGCCGTCAACCACCAACCTCGATAAAACGAATCTGGATCATGAAAACAGGGTGTAAGGGGGAAGAGGAAAGGGTAAAAGATCCATCAAGAACGTTCGGTGTCACGAAGGAGAGGCTGTCGGACGAACACGAAACATGGTTTCTTATCACGAACATACAATCCTGGCACAGATTTAAATAATTCATTCAATCCCCACTGTAGTTTGCGCAATGCGGTGTTCTTCTGCGTTTATGGTGACCACCGGTAAACCTTGAAATACCCATTGGCGGGAAACGGATCGGATCGTTTTCGAGAGCACGTGACAGACGAAATTTCTTTGCCAAAAAGCCGGTGTCCAACTGTTCGAAACGATAGCTTCGCTACCCGGACATCCTCTTCTACGTCGCTCTTTCGCACTTGCGCAAACCGATTACGGCGTTGCGCTCGATATCCCAAGGATTGCGCTAAAGGAGGAGGGGATTCCATGGGATGGCGGGTAAACGAAATTGTTGAAAATTCGACCAACGCCGTCTTATCGCTTTCTAATTAATTTTCCAATGAATTTTTAATTAATAAAGAATCTTAAAATTCATATTCTATTTATAAATATATGCTTGTTTTTTTTTTTTTTTTTAATTTCATATACCCAGGGGATTTGAATTGAGGGGATTAATCTCTGATTCAAGAATCTAACATTTTACCACCCCCGCTACTTATACTATCCGCATGGAACGATATAAAATTGAATACACGTTGACATACAAAATTTCAAAAATGATACCAAATATCTCAACCTTGAAATTTTTGTATTCTTTCAGATTTGCCTCGCCAATGGAGCAAACGATCAATACTTTTGCTCTTCTGCTCTTTCGACCCCTTGACTACATCGCGTTTGGCGTCTCTTCTAGCCAATTCCCTCTCTTTTCCACCTGGAGGACAGACGGTGATTTTCTCCCTCTACCAATTCGCTGCCAACTTTGTGAATTTATGTCGTCTCAATTTTCGCTTCCCGTCCAGACGGAATAGTAATATCCCGCCGCGTTTAAACGTTTTATGAGTCAATAACCTCACCCCGCAATCGGATTGAAATCGATCCGCAACAAACTTGAAATTCACTGATACATGTATTTTGTATTTTCATGCCATTTTGCCAAGGTGTATCTTTAAAATGGTACAAGATAGGGAGGGATATCATTAAGATAAATTAAATTGCACCGAATGGACCATCGCGTGACGCAGGAGACGCAACCGGAAGTGAAGACGTTCCAAAGATTTCAAGGTAAATTTAATTTTTTACAATCAGACTGTATTTCTATAATTGCTAAAGAAAAATGGGAAATGTATGTTTGCAGAAGTAACGAAAATACTGCAGACTGGATCAGGTGTAATTAGCAATTAATGTCTGTAGCGTACTCGATCGATTAGCCGAGAGTACAGACTCTCACAAGTCATTTCCACCCCAACGGCGGAAGTTCATCCCCCTGGCAATGCCCTTTCCCGAGGCAGACTGCTGAAAACCACTACCCTTTGCCAGAAAGTTTCGAAGGTTATACTGCTTGGAGTAACAAAAGTCCGCCGCATCCTGTATTTTACGGCCTCCATTAGCATATCATACATTTCTGGCTCGTTCGAACGAGAGTAAAACTGTGCGCTTTTCAGAGGGATCCTTTTGAGTAACATTCAAACGAACGATGTTTTTTCAACGTTGAAAAACCAGATTCGATAGCGAGCGTACTTGGTCGTTAGAGAGAGGAAAAAGAAAATTAGAAGTTCGATTGTGGATGAAGAAAGCAAAGCGAAGAATCGTTTAAAAAAAAAAGGAACGATAAAGGAAGAATATAAAGAAAAACTCGGTTAACTAGTGACGCTCTAATTAACGTCGAAATCGTTCCGCTTAGCATAAATTAATGCGTTCGTTATCCGCAGTATTTCGATTTCGCTACTAAAGAATCTAATGGTTCGAAGGAATACCGTTTTTCTTCTTGCAAGATGCATTAATAAAGTTTACGGTTACGTGTACTGTTATTGCGTGAAATTTAAAAAAAAAAATAAAAATAAAAAGGAATTATGAAATTCCTGTTAATAAAATTTAAGATTTCTAATAAAGATAGTTCAGCATTATTTAGACCAATACGGTATACAATGCTTGTAAAAATTGGAAAAGACTTGAACTTTTCAAAATGGCACATGATTTGTTGATCACGATGGCTATTATATTTCGCATTTCATTTAAACAAAAAACGCTACCTTATGTATGTTTCTTTTCCTTCGTATATCAGAGAATACTATCGCCTGATTCATATAGGTTTCTCTAATTATACAACGCAATAGTAACTTCATAACATACTAGAGTAATTAACTAAGTTTCCTGGTGACTGTTACGTATGAAAGTATTAATACAACTTTCAAAATATAAGATGCGATAATATTTAAAAAATTCTTTTTCTACTAAGACTATGAGAAACTACAAAGTGTAATAACTACTTAGATAAAAATTCTGAAAATATTTTTTACAATACACACAAATACATGAGAATAGTATTGCAAATATATTATACATTGCTTGGACTATTTACCCATTGGTGGTAGAAAGATTTGATCTTGAAGTGGTATTCTTCGTCACGGATGGTTCCTTCATTTTTTTCTTTTTTTTTCAATCTTCACAATTCTTTTCAGTAAATCAGAAACACCTCTTTAAATCGTCCTCTATTGCTTCTCATTCAACAGCATTCGTTCAAATCCAAGGATTATTCAGAATCGTTTTCTTAACGAGCAGCACAGGTTTATGATTAATTTAGGAAGTTTTCCAGCGTGCATCGCGATGAATTACGAAATAGCAGCGTTTACCACGTTGCTTTTCCTCCCGGAAGCAACCGGGGGTTTATAATTGTTCGTTCGTTGCCTCTTTGAACCGGTCCCGGTACGATTCCCGAGGTTCACCTCGCTTTTCTCTCGCTTTTCCCACCGTTAGTGCCGTCTATTTACGATACTCCCTTCCGTTCTAGCGATTTCCTCTTCCTCGACGTTCCAACACTTCTCTTATCCCTTTTTTCCCGTCGCTTTTCTACTTCTACGACTCGCTAAACGCCAGACGAGAGGCAAACTGCGAACGCTATTACCGTTCTCCTAGCGGTGTCAACCTCTAAATGGCTATACAGGGTGTCCAATTTTAACAAATAAACACAATTATCTACTAATGATTTGTTATTCGATAAAATGTAAAATTCTTTTACCAGCGTTAATGCACTGTACCAAAATTTTTAGAA